CAACTATCACTGTAAAAATTTGACACTATCGGTGAGAATCATATGTACTGCTGGATCAGAAGCTATAGGAAAGGAGATACGAAATGGGAACAGACTCTATTCCTTTTGACAACTGTAACAGAATGAGTGAATTTGTCTGTCTAGTTCGTTTACAGAGTGAAACAAGAATTTTTCACTAATTTATCTAATACAAAATAGTGGTCTAGTGTCTTTTGGTTAGACATTGAAATGGGTCAACTACAAAAAACATTACTGTGGAATTTCCCAGGATGCAGAAAATATTAGACTATGAATGTAAAAGGAAAAAATAAGAACCCCTCCTCCCACAAAAGCCTGTTGAGGACAGAATAAGCTCAGTGTTTTTTCAGGAGGCATGAACTGCTGAGGGTATCAGTTGAATGGTTTTCATTTTTAAAAAAATGGATTGGAGGAAACTGGCCTGATCGAACAGTGTAGGATATCTTGAATGTGGGGCAGGGGAAAGGGATCAGATCAGGGCATGCAATGTATAAAGCATGTGTTCTCAACCTACATATGGAGTTCAACTACTAAAAACCTTAAGGGCTTTGACCACATTGGAGTTTTTTGGTTCAGAATTAAGATCAGAGGAAAAGTATTTTCCCCTATTCTGCTTTCCCCACCCGATGATAATGGCTTCCCCTCCTTCCTAAGTTTAATCATTACCACTAAAAGGACTGAAAGATAAATATACCTTCCCCACCCAGCACTGCAGCCTTTAGGCTCAGAGCTGGATGAGTAGCTTCCTGCTTACTTAGCTCCAAGATTCAGTAGTCTGATGTTCCTAGGAGGTAAAATTCGATTTCTCTAAAAGAGATGCAAAATTTCTGTAAACTGTGTGACCAGGAGCTCAGACAAGTAATTGGTGAAACATCTAAATCACCCTAGCACCAGGAAGAACCAGAGGCAGAGACAGACTGATTTAGCATCTATCCTTGTTTTTTTAGGGACAAGTTGTGAGAAATTTTAAGGAAATCTGGTCTAAAAGAATAGCTACTGAATGCTTATAACTTGATTTGCCATCTCAATCTGCTATCTATTTTATAATAAACATTATAACTTTATTCATATTGGAAGGGAGTTTCTAGTAGTGGTGTTAATCTCATGCCTTTTCAAGAATATATTTTTTTTCCTGATGACCAAACAGCAAGGGGCAGTTACTTAGGGTTCTATCAGAAAGACACAAGAGGGTCAAAAATATAAAATAAATCTCTGTCAAGGTCAGCATAACTATGTAAAAAAGTAACCAATTGTTCCCTGATGATTATGTTTTCCTTTTAGATGGTTGTGTCCTGCTTTTATTGAGGAATGTTTCCTATGTCTTTTTTTAATTACTAACCTTTACAAAAAACTAAATGCATTAATTTGCTGTACATGATGAGTGTGGTAGCTGGTTCTGATGGGAGACAGCCTCACTCTATATTGCTAGTGTACACCACAATAAAGAACCTTTTAAAAAATAAAAGACTTGCTGGTATTGTCTCTCTCATGATCAGACAACAAACAAGGAGGACCGTTTTTTTTGTCCTCACAGATTTGGTGCCCCAGGTGGGACGTGTCTGACTTTCCAGATTTGGCTCTGGAGCAATGCAGCATGCATTCTCTGTTTGAGGAAGCCTTGTCTGGTAGCCAGGACCATGTGCTGGCAACAAGGCATTGCCCACAGGACCAGCTCTTGTCCAAAAACAAATCCAGTAACCCACATAGGCACAGAGCCTGTATGTGATGCTCAGAGACCATGAAGAAGAACATCACCTACTCTTTGAGTAGGTTGGTAAGATGGCTGTTCTGTATATCTGCATGTGACAGGTGACTTTAGAGTTGACCAAGCAATCTGCAGGGGGTTCCACATGACAGAAGAAGTCAGTAGGATGCCAACTCTGAGCTGCAAAGCTGAATTGTGGAAAGTAGGTGAAAAGTGTCACAAAGGCCCTGAGACTGGTTCCCGAATTCAAGCATATTTCATGCTGTGAGATACCATGGTGCGGTCTGGGATTGAGTGATGAATGAGAGTACATGAAGTGGCTGTCAGACAGCCTCTTTAGGCACTAGGAGATTGCCTACAACACCACCTTAATCTTGTGTCTTGTTGTCTGTGCTTTGGCTAGAAAAGGGAATGGGAGCAAAAGTACAGGTCATAGTTCTGTGCATGGCAGGTCTGAGCCGGCCTACATTGTTCTAGTCTCAGATGGTGATACCTGGCTGAGAGTCTGGGCTAGATGCCCAGGACACAAGATAATTCCTCAGGGAAAGAAAGAGAATCAGGTTTTTTTGTCCAAAGCAGAGGGAAAAAGATAAAACAAAAGAGGGGGGAAAGGAGAAAATCATTATGTGACAAGGCAGAAGCAAGTGCCTGGGGAATGCACCTTTGCCTTTTGCCTTCTGAGACTGGAAAGTGATACCTGGGACAGCCAGTTTCTCCAAATCTAAGATGGAAAATTTGTGCAGAGCCCAGTAGCCATCTTTTACTTTTTACCTATCCCCAACAAAAAATGGCCAGAATGCAAAACGCCTTTAGCTGATAGAATGAATATACTAAGAGATATTATCTCCATTCTGGGCAAATGAACTATATGTATGTGTGGTACAATTATCATCAAATAGAGAATAGAATGGCAGTAGAAGCAGTTTGTGTTTTCCTTTCCCAACTTTTGATTGAAGTTGTCAGTATACCAGCTAGAATATAGAATGTGAAACAAATGAGCAAAAAGAAAAGTAGAATGCACGGAAAAACAGAAAGAAATGAAAGAGGTAGTTTCACTGATGGCAGCAATGATGAGCGAAGGAAGAGCTTTTTAGAGGACATAAAAGAAGTTAGATGAATGAAAGAGGATGTGGGAAGATGTTGCTACAGCAAGGACAGAGAACCGAATTAAAAATGGAGGTTGCCATTACTGCCAAAGGACATTGGCAGAAAGAATTCCTCAGTACACCCTGGAAATAGAAAAAGTTCATGTGTGCAATGAAGTAAAGAAAATGTGAACAAACCACTTTCCAGGAAAAAAAAGGGGGGAAGTAAATTTACTAAAGGGAATTAAATCTGGCTGAGAAAAAAATGAGACAAATTATTGCATTTGCAAATTTTAAAAATAAGAGAAGACAGAGGTGGCTAACTGGAGAGAGAAGAAAAAAAGGGAGCCAAATCTCATACAAGAGTCTCAAGGACTCATGAGAAAAACTCAAACAGCTGGGGGAAAAAAAAGAAGAAAAACACTTTTCACAGTGTAAGAAAATTGAGGGAAAAATGGGAAAAGGTTACTAAATCCCTAAAAGAGTTCTGCTAGTATTCAACTGAACTAAAGCACGCAAAGTAAAATATCTTGTATTATAACCTCAGTATCTGTAAAGGCAGATTCCTTGTGACTATTTAAGCCCCTTAGAAAGCATGAGTAGCATTTTTTTAAAGTATACCCAGAGAAGTTGCAAAGCACTTAAGAAGAAAGGCAGGTTGCTCACCTGTAACTGTCGTTCTTCGAGTGGCCATCTGTGCATCACACATATGGGTGCTGTGCCTGTGCAGTGCCTATGGCCAGAAAGATTCAAAAGCTTAACGGTTTTGGCAGAAACTCTGCACCCCTCCCCCCATGGTATAAAAGGGTGGAGTGCCCACCATTTCCTCAGTCTACTGAAGACCAACTGTTTGCCCCCTCGCGGGAGCGAGAGACATTGCAGGGAACTGCTTGAACCCGAGAGAAAGTTTTTTAATGAAACCGTTATTGAGGAGAAACGGTACTGTATAAACCCATTCACTGACACCAAACAGGGCCGGCAGGTGGGTTGTGTGACTGCACAGATGGCCACTCGAAGAATGACAGTTACAGGTGAGAAACCTGCCTTTCTTCATCATGGCCTCTGTGCATCACACATATGGGTGATTAACAAGCTTACCAGACACGGAGGCGGGCGGTGTCATCATTTAAGAATTGAAGAAAGGATTGCCCGGCCGAAGGAGCAATCGTGTCTGGCACGCACATCAAGGCGGTAATGCCTAGCAAAGGTGCAAGGAGTAGTCCAAGTGGCAGCCTTGCAAATGTCCTGGATCGGAATGCCAACGGCAAAAGCAGAGGAAGCAGCTACCACCCTTGTGGAATGCCCTCTGGGCGTGACAGGTAAGTCAAGATTGGCGAACTGATACACTAGCTCAATGGTCTGCACAATCCACTTTGAAAGTCTCTGCGAACCGACGGGAGAGCCCTTATCATGGTCCGAGTATTTAATAAAGAGGCGGTTAGATTTATGGAAGGACTCCGTGCGAGACCTGTAAAAGGCAAGGCAGCGACAGACATTGAGAGCATGCAAAGACCATTCTACTTGTATAGCTGGCGTAGGGAAAAAGGCAGGTAACATAATGTCCTGGTTAATATGAAAGGGAGACACGACTTTAGGTAAGAACGCTGGATCAGTGCAGAGAACGACTTTCTCCTTACTAAAATTAAGGAAAGGAGGATCTATCCAAAGTGTGCAGAGTTCACTAGCCCTTCTGGCAGATGAGATCGCAATGAGAAAAGCAGTCTTCCAAGACAGGAGATACAAGTCAGTAGTTGCCAAGGGCTCGAAAAGAGCTCGAGTGAGTGCCTGGAGGACGACTGAGAGGTTCCAAGTAGGAATAACTGGTCGAAGTGGTGGCTGAAGGTTCTGTAGACCCTTGAGGAATCGACGTATGAGGGTATGAGGAAAAAATTGAAGAACCGTGCACCTGTCCACAGTAGTGGGAGATTGCAGCTGTGTAAACTTTAATGGAAGATGGTTTAAGTCCCGATCGATGGAGTGATAAGAGAAATTGAGGCACATTTTCAACAGAGGCCGAAGAAATGACAAAATCGTTGGATTCAGCAAAGGATGCGAAGTGCTTCCATTTGGCCATATAAGACCGACGAGTTGCAGGTCTTAGGGCAGACTGAAGAATGAATTGGATATCGGGATGGAGAGCACTTGGGTTGGATGAGGAGTCTATCGGTAGCGGGGAAGGAGAGGCTGTATCGGGACGATGTCAAGCAAGTATAGAAGTCCCAGGATCCGCCGGTACCGAAGGGATCCCGTGGATCATCAAATAAGCCAGGCTGTCAGGTTGAGTGAAGGAAGATCCAGGTGGAGAACAGCTCTGCACTGCTGGGTTATCAGATGAGGTATGAGAGGCAGGTGGAGAAAAGTGCTGCCGGATAGGCAGAGAAGAGTAGGGAACCATGGTTGACGGGGCCACCAGGGGGTGATCAGGATCCTCGTGGCACTGTTGTAGGCGATCTCGCTAGGACCCTCGTTATGAGCGGGATCGGGGGAAATGCATAAAAGAATGTGTTCGTCGAAGGGATCATGAGCGTGTCCCCTGTCGATCCTGGGCCGATGCTGGCACAAGAGTAAAACGCTTCGCACACCTTGTTCGTGTGAGTGGCGAACAAGTCTATGTCCGAAGAGCCCCAAGTCCAGAAGAGGCAATTGCAAGTTGAACGATCCAGCTGCCATTCATGGGTCATTGACGTCTGCCTGCTGAGGGCGGCGGCCTCCTCATTGTCGGTACTGGCCAGGTGAACTGCGAGGAGGGTGACCTCCCTGGGGATGCACCAGTCCCACAGCTGCATTGCCAGGTGGGCCAAGGGGGTGGACTTCGTCCCGCCTTGTTTGTTTATATAGAATTCAGCAACAATGTTGTCAGAGGCAATCTGGGCAACATGTTGCCGAAGAGAGTCCTTGAACGATTGAAGGGCTTGAAGACCGCCAGGAGTTCGAGGTAATTGTTATGTCTGGTGGCCTCCTGATGATCCGAGGTGCCCTGTGTACGAAGAATGGCACATAGAGCTCCCCACCTGGTAAGGGAGGCATCAGTAAACACAGTCAAGGTCGGCTGAGCCGGACGAAATGGAATGCCCACGGACAGATTGTGTCATGTAGTTCACCAAGATAAGGGTCTGGATGACAGAGGTTGGAAGAGGGAGAAGAGAGACTCGTTGAGGTTGAAACAGTCCATTGAACCACAACTGGAGTGGTCTCATCCATAGCCTGGCGTGGGGAACTGTGGATACTGTAGAGGCCATATGGCCGAGAAGTTTTTGCACTGAGAGTGCTGGAACAGCTCTGTCCATGTGGATTCGACGGATCAATGAACACAGATTGTCCTGTCGATTTTGTGGAAGGAATGCTCTCTTCAGCATGTAACCAAGACAGGCTCCAATGAAGTCGATGACCTATGAAGGAGCAAGGCACAATTTGTTCTGATTAATGCATAGCCCCAAATTGTCCAAGAGAGCACAAATAGTTTGAATAGATGACTGAAGGCTTTCCTTAGATTGGGAGATGATCAGCCAGTCATCCAGGTAGGGGTACACTTGAATGCCTTGGAGCTGAAGATGCACACACACCGGGGCCATGCACTTCATAAAAACCCGGGGGGCAGTAGCCAGTCCAAATGGAAGGATGTTAAACTCAAACAGGTCGGAACCGATGCTGAATCGTAGAAGACACCTGTGGGACGGGTGAATGGTAATGTGAAAACAGGCATCTTTCAAGTCCAGAGAAGCAAACCAATCCTCTCTCCTAAGCAACAGAAGGATATTTTGAAGCGTAGTCATCTGAAACTTTTTGGCTTTGATAAACCTATTGATGCCACATAAGTCCAGAATTGGACGAAGACCACCATCTCACTTAGGGACCGTGAAATATCTTGAGTTGAAGCCGTGGAACCCCTCGGAACGTGCAAGCTGTTGAATCGCTCCTTTACGAAGAAGCTGTTGAACTTTGTCAACGAGAATCGATGACTGAGGCGTAAACTGGATTGGTCCCAGTAGGGGCACAGTATTGAACTCAATTCTGTATCCGTGCTGTATGATAGATAAAACCCAAGGATCAGATGTGATTGACTCCCAAATGGGGAGTCGACTTTACAGGCGATCCCCAAAAGGAAGAGGAAAGGTGGGTTGAGGAGAAAAGGAGAGGTTCACTCGTCCCATCAACGCTGATGTTTGTTGGAGTCGGGATGACGCCAGTTCTGTTGAAAGTGTTGTTGTTGTTGCTTCTGATGCTGTTGACTGGGCTGGAATGGCTGACGGTCAGCAAATTGCAAGTAGGGCTGGTATCTATAGGGTGGACAAGACCAAGTCCACTTACAGTGAGACTGATTAGGGACTTCCATCTGGCAAGCTGTAACTCTTAACTCATGGATCGTCTTCATCTTGTGGTCCGTCCGAGCATTGAAGAGCCCTGAACTGTTGAAGGGCATGTCTTCAATCCGGCGTTTCATCTGGTCCGGGAAGTTGCAATTCCGGAGCCAGGCATGGCGATGGAGGGCTATGGCGCCGACAAGAGCTCTAGAGTCAGAGTCGACATGGTGTCTTGCCGTGGAAAGCTGCTGGATTGCCACCTGCATAGCCTAATAAAGATCCTAGCCAGGTCTTTTTGTTGATCTGGAAGTGAGGCTGTGATATTTTCTAACTTTTGCATTAGAAAATATTGGTATTGAGCCAGCATGGCCTCATAATTAGAAATACGGAGGCCAAGTCCTGTAGCGGCATAGATCCGGCAAGCCAACATGTCGATCTTACGGCCCTCTTTGTCGCTGGGAGTAGTGTGTCCCCTGGACTCATGTCCTTGAGAAGACTCAACGACGATTGAGTTCGGTCTTGGGTGACACAGGAGGAATGGAATATCCTGCTCACGGACTCAATACATGGACTCGTACTGCCGCGAAGTGGGTTGAGGCTGATTAGGGTAGTTCCACGGTTCCATCATCGCCTGGCGAAGAGTGGTAATCAGCGGCAAAATGATGGCGGCAAACTGTTCGCCCTTAACAATGTTGTAGAACTTGTTGGTATTGGGATCAAAGTGGTGCTGGGCCTCGATCTCAAGTGACCTCGTAAGCCTCACTATTAGTTCCCCAAAGGTTACATAGTGTTTCTCCGGTGAGCTGGGACTCTGTGTAGAAATCACCGCGACTGGTGAAGTAGACACCACTTCAGAGTCCTCCAAGTCCGAATCATTATGAGGCGGGAGACTAGAAGAAGAGTCGATAGTGGGACACCTGGACTGAGCCGCCCTCGAAGTCGAAGGGACATCTCTTGGTACTGGAGAGAAGGAACGATCACGCATTGATGGGTAGTAACCGTAAAGCGGTTAATCATCCCATGGCTCACGACAAAACGGCCTGTGGGGCAGTTGCACCCATTCTTCCGAGGGCCGGACAGAGGCACGCTGTTGATATCGCGCCTGCTGAGGAACAGCCCTTGAGGAAGGCTCGTGCGATGGTTGGGGAGTCGGTGAATGAGCCATTGGAGAAGAGTCTTGAATCTCTCCATCGGAAATTGATCCCAACAAGGGAACGTCTTGGTGTTCGGGAGAGGACTGGGCAGAAGGTGTAGCCCATCTTAGAAACCCAGGTGGAGTCACTTGCATGGCCAACTGGAGGTCCGGTCTGGTCGGTGTCGGTACTGAGACAGCTGTCGGGATCGACGGGGCGGACGAACCTGAGTCACGGTGCCTGGAATGGTTGGGCTTCTTAAGCTTGCGAGCTGACTTGTCCGCCTTGTCCTTCTTAGGCTTCTTATGGCCTGAGGACTTGTCCGAATCACTATGCTTCCTCTTCTACTATTGCTTATGTGGAGATACAGAGGAGCGTTGTCCCTCTGGCAAAGGGGCACCATCAGCCGATGGGCGGGACGGAGGAGTGGTGGAAGAGGGGGACAGAAGAGCAGATTTGCCCACCAGTTGGTCTGACTGGAGTAGGGCTTGGTCCCACAAAAGTTTGTGAAGGCGGTTCTCTCAATTTTTCCTCGCCTGCTTCGTAAAAGCCTGACAATGGCTGCATTGATCAGTTCCAAGACAGGGAAGGCACAGGTCATGCGGATCAGTAGATGACATTGTGGACCCGCACTGAGAACACTTGCGGAAAGCTGCACGCTGTGCCATTGAGGAAGGAAGAGAAGATAGCAAAGCAAAGAGAAAGAGGAACAGTATTTTTTTGTTTAACAGGGAAAGGGGGAAATTGAGAAGAAAACTTCTAATAGGGAGGTGATAACTTGGAATAGTAACGACTGAAAGAGATAATAGCAACTGGATAAACGTGTACAAACTGAGAGACGAAAAGGCTCGAGGCACAGCGAACGGCGGTTGCAAGAAGAATGAGAAAATGCGGGCACTCTGCCCTTCTATACCATGGTGGGGAGGGGTGCGGAGTTCCCGCCAAAACCGTTAAGCTTTTGAATCTTTCCAGCCATAGGCACTGCGCAGGTGCAGCACCCATATGTGTGATGCACAGAATAATGGAAATATGTAGCTTAACTTGGGCAAATTTAGGAAATAGTCATTTGTACAAGCCAGGTGATTAACCCAAAATCAAGTGTTTTGGGAGGAACATAAGAGATTGGACAAAGGTACAGGATTGTGGACAGACAGGTGAAAGTTTGGCTTAGTACACAGAAAGATTTAGAAAAGGGTTTTGCACAGAATCCAGAGAAACATGATGTCCCTGCATCAGTAATGAAAACATGGTTTATTGTCTGTTGTGCGCAACTGATTCCTAAAGTAAGAAAGTGGTTGAAAATAAAGTGGCATAATGAGGTAACATGCGCTCATCTAAATGAACCAGGAATTAGGTGTGATATGCAAACCAAGTCATTTAATGTTACAGCATCTAACAAGAACAAATCCAAAAATGAAGCCAAATGTATATCTCTTAAGTAAAATGAAATATTTTATTCATCATTCTAGAAGAAAAGACTGCATAACTGAAAAATTATTTTAATTTTTCAGAAAACATAAAGGACTTTGGTAAGCCCCCAATTTTCCTAGGTTGTAACATCAATATTCTCACATGCTGCCAATTCATTTTCTTCTTTTGCAACATTTTTTTTTAACTTACATTCCATGTCCAGAATCACTCTCGGGGTTCCATTCAGGATAGCTTAAAAGAAAAAGGTCAGGTAAGTCATTCTCTGCAATGCTAATGCTGTGGCTAAAGAAATATGACAGAGTTACATTTTCCATTTGAGCATGAAATTTCTTAATATACAAAACAGAATGAATAAATTGATTACTGAAATTTTATACCAACTCTTAACAGGAAAGACTGCTAATACCTTAGCATTTAGTAATACTAAATAAGTACTAGTTCTTATCTTTTAAAGTACTGTGTTATTGAAACACATGAAATTATTCAATTCAGAGGACCAAAGTCATCCATGTTTCTTACAGGCAAGTATACAAGATATCTCAGCTTCCATAACTCATTGCATAGATAGGTAGAAGTTCCATAGAAAACTCAAAATACTGTATACCATGTTAAATTGAACAGAAAGTCTATGTTATGTCAACAGCATGCATCTTTGTACCCAATTTACTTTTAGCTTGAAAAATACTGGGGAGGCAGCAGATTTCAAATGCAAGTGGTATCAAGAGAGTAAGGAGAAACGTTTCTTACACACTAAAGATGGACATACCCTTTCCCCCTGACCAGAGATTCTTTGCTGGTTTCTTGGTTTTTGCGTATCTTGTATTCCTTTTCCAAAAGAATGAAATGCTTCTCTTAAGGCTTAGCTACTGGCATTAGTAGTAATTAATAAGCAATATTTAAAATGTACCAGTCTTTTGGCACTAACCCTTTTGACTTTAGTTGTGGCTGCCTGTGGAATAACAAACCTCTGCTTACCTGGGAGACTTTGGAAAACTGAATTTGACCCTTGGCCTAAAAGATATGATACCCCAAATTATGTAAAAGTGAGACAGAAGTAATTTAGAGGGCTTTCTGAGGATGTATGGCAACGTTTATGAAACACTGAAATGGTGTATTACAATTATAATGAAAAAGAACATTTTAAAATGCTCAAATCCATACATTTCGAGGAGTAGTTGACAGCGTCGACTATGAGTTGCTCCATTTATATGCTGGTTCCACTCCTGCAGGAAAGTATAAAGTCAAAATTTATCAGAAACAGAGTTTTTAAAAACCACACTGCAAACAGCTACACAATAATTTGCAAGTCAACCAAAATGTTAAATGTAAAACCACAAGGAATGCCTTTGTCTTGAGAACAGTACTATGATCAAAAGGGTACTAAAAATATCACACAAATACAATTAGGTTTGGAATTCAGATGTATTTTGCTTTATTATGGCAACTGTATAAATCCCAGTGTTAAGTCAGGTATTTACAGTTCTTTTTTATATTCCCTGTGTCCAACATGCGTATCATGTCAAAGAGCCTTTTGGCTATTGGGCGGTATAGAAATGAAAAGAATACATACATACATACATATCCAGTAGTTGCTTTGTGCTAGTGGAAAAGACTTCTGCACGTAAGGCAAGGCAGTCAACTGTTACTTACCCCCTTACATATTGCAGTCCCCCATACAGTATCCCATACTGTTCCAGAGAGTCCCCCAACTCTCAAGAGCAGCTTTTGAGGGCCTGCAAAGGGATAAGCTAAAATCAAATGCACCCATGCTACACAACAAAAGTATTTTTTGCTAACACAAAGCTACCACTGGATATAGGAATTTTGTATTCTAAAGATTACAGAAACATTAGAAGATGAGCCAGAAACATCCAAAGGGAAACTAGAAAGAGCCCAAAGACTAGTCCGGACATCTTTAACATGGAATCATGCAATTTATTTGAGATGAACCACAAACAACTTTAGAAATGGTTTTCAATATAAGTCTAATGCTAGTTTGCCTTTGGTTGATCCACATCTTCAAAGGGACATATCCACCAAGACTGCAATAGCTAGTTCATGACATTTCCAGTCTGTGGGAAGACAGTAAAAAAACCGGGATTGCTGCACAAGATAACATTTATGTGGCAAAAGGAAGCAAGATGTGATTAGCAGCAAGAGAGGAAATACCCCTTCATTATTTGAATAGCTGTACTAATCAGACAGAACATCTTATTTTATATCACATCCCACATTAAGCAAACAGAAAAGCAGCTTGAAATTCAAGATCATAGAGAATGAGAAGAAACAGGCACTGCTTCTAGCCACCATTCAAGTCTGGATTTTTTTGCCAACCTCTCATAAAAGTGGGAGCCCTTTAAGCATCAGTTGTATGATTTCAGTGCAGACATAGCCATTGCTAAAGTATCAGGGCCAGGCAACTGCACAATTCCTCCCTTGCCACAATTTTGCTACTGGCTTTAACTATAGTTAAAACAATGTTGTTATTACATTGCATTTATATTCCATCTTTTTCCCCTTGTAAGGAACCCAAGGTGGCCTGAAAAGTCTCATTTTATCCTCACAACAACCACCTTGGGAGGTAGGTTGGGGTGAGAGTCTGTGACTGGCCCAAAGTCACCCAGTGAGGTTCATGACTGAGTAGGGACTAGAACCCAGATCTCCCAGGCCCCCAGTCTAACAGTCTAACTACCACAATAGCTCACAATGTTGGCACTAGCTGTTCTCAATATCAATCCATTTCTAAAACAGCTTTAACCCCTGCCTAACATTAAAAAATGGTTAACAATAGTTCTGACAATCCGTAGCTATTATTAATGCTGGCACAGGAAGGGAGGACAATGGAATTAAGAGATCCTGCATCCTTTCCTCCAGTCCCTTATCAACCATTATTGCTATTGATGGCAAACTTTCTATCTCTTGCAAGGAAATCAAAGTGGCTTACAAGCATCTCCTCTCTAATTTATAGGGTTAGGGTGAGGTGCGTTAGGTTGAAAGTCCATGACTGGCCTGCAGTCATCTGGTTGCTTCATGGCTAAGTGGGGACTACAACCCAAATTTTCTGCTTCCTAGTCCAACTCTCTTATCCACTACACTACACTGGCTCCAGAGTGAGTAACTGTTAAGAAGTAAAAACAGAAAGCTTTTCCAGTTACCCCTCTATCTTACCTTCACAGAACAAGCATTTTACTAGATTTCACCATTGTTTCCACAATTTAAAAAAATTAACAGTGGATTAAAGAAACCTGCTGCTCTTAAGCATGTCTATGTTTTCTCTCTAGAGCAAAATTCAATATCCTAGGAATATCAAACTCTTTTTTTAATTACAAAGCAATGTCTATCCTTTATGGCTACAAAGATGTATTTTGGAAGAATGTAGCTAGTGATTGGTGCTCAGAAATGAGAGACCCATGAGTCTGACTAGCTTATGTACCTTACAGAATTCCCTGTACTTCCATAACCCCAAATACAGATTTATTTAAACAGTATGATAAACTGCCCCATTTGCCTAACACAGATAGGTTGTAGACTTCAAAAATCTTGTAACTAGTTAGGAGTTAACTTATGCAATTTTTGCAGCACAAAATACTATGCTGCTGCTGCTATTATTATAATTATTTCATTTCTATACTGCCCTACAGCTAAAGCTCATTGGGTGGTTTACACAATCCATAAAAACAAATGATAGAAATACAATAAAAGTATCAGAAATATCAGAAAAATATTTAAAAGTATAAAACACCTAAAACATGCACAAAACATTACTGCACAATATAAATTTTGTAGCCATAAAGCATTTCAATTAAGTTCAGAAATTTAGAAGGCCTAGATGTATTTTGTTCACACAACCATGCAAAGTAAAGATTAATGATCTTCCAAGACTTCTTTAAAATCATTAGCATTCCCTAGTAAAACAAGATGTTCCTTCCAACTATATCAATGGGAGCACTCAAGACACCATAAATATTTCCAAGAAGAGAGTTTTCAAGGGCACACAAGCTTTTCCTGGTCCTTTCCATGTCTAGATGCAGCATTCCTCTCTGACTCCTACATATTATATTAGCTTTGATATATGATAAACAGAGGAAAGAGTCATGTCAGTGGTACTTTCTAAGTGGAGGTAACGTTTTTCAAAGCCAACTGCCACAGCTCACTGCATTAGTATTAGGGATGGAAGAAAGTTTAATTCACTTCACATTTTAATAAGAAGTGAAAAACAATGTGCAAAGTAGAATGCAATTGTCCTTTCATACTTGCACTTGACAGTTTTGAGACAAAGTATGCATTTTAATGGAAAATTGTGCACAGAAATAGACACATAAGGGAAAACAACACTCAAAATTCATATCTTGAGGGAACTGGTCAAAATACATATATTATAACTAATGCACATTTCCATTCAATCTTCCAAGAAAAGTTGCAAATGGATGCAAAACCTGACAGAAAAAAATGTGAATTCAAAAAAATTATAAATGAAACAAAAGGAAAGGAGAGTCATTCATCCCAGCCTTGGGAGTCCTCCTTGAGATGGCTCAAGTTCCTGCTTAAATCTAAGAAACCCCATTCTCTTTACTACGTATTTCTGCTTATTCATATATTCTTCCTTGGAAATATTAGGAGATAGACTCAAACCCTATTTATTCTAGATACCCGTACAAAGCTTTCTAAAGTTTTGCTTGCTGTAGAAAATCTGTTCTGCCACCACAATGTAGAACTTAAAAATTCCAAACTTGAAACTCTAGAACAGAAGCATCAGCTGTATCATGTATGAAAGCCCTGTGAGCAGAACAAGTGAACTCATCTGAAGTTAGAGTAAGAGATTTCCACCAATCAAGATAGACAAATGTAAACATAAATCTGCCTGCTTGAGGACACAGATTATGATTAGATTTCCTACTTTTTAAAGAACTGAATGCTAGACGTGTGGTTCTACTGTTCTCATGATGAAAACTGCCCACTTGGGCATGGGGGAATTTCATCAGGAAAACAGTGTGCATGGAGTGGGGTGAAGGATTCAATCCCCCATCCCTGTAGTCACAGCTAATTTAGCCTCAGTGCAGGTTAGAAGCTTGGCTGGGTGCTTTCATCTAGGCATTTCAATTGAATTTGTTGCCTTTTCTGCCTCTGGGGACATACATTTATTACAGAAGAAACCTGACCAAAGGCATTCATGTAATATAGTATTTTCCATACTTTCCATTTATATTAAATATCTAAGAAAAAAGGGAAGAGAGCTATTTATACTAGTAGATTTCCCCACTTATCCCCAGCAGAAATATTTTGACTGAGTGATGAAATAGGTGATGTAGGAGCTCTTAATTGTACTCAATCAAATGCATTTTAATATGTATCTTTCAGTTACATGCAACTTCTATAATAATGGCAAGTTTCTTCAGTTGTTGAGAATGCAAACCCTTATTCTGTAGCTTCTGCTTCTTACAAGTTATAGCAACACCTTTCCATTAAGATGTCTGTTTTCATCAGTGTCATCAAGTTTTAAAATATTATAGGCATGATTAAGCTAAAGTTTTTAGAATTGAAAAAGCCTTATCTTTTGATGTCATTCAATGTTCAGAGGTAGGTGACTAGAACTGTAATATGCTGAAGAGACAGATGTTTGAAGGTAAGAGCTTCTGTCCGAAACAGTAGAACAGAATTTAAATGAAAAACGGAGACTTAATTATATAATTGATTGCCATAATTAAGATCTGCTCTACTGCTAGTGTTTTAAATAATTACATCTTTTAATCTCCTGTGGATTTGACATTCATCTCAGCATAATCCACAAAGATGTGAAACTGTGGTTGTCAAGAAAAATGTAAACTTTCAGATGTAAAAGAATCAAGCAGAGAATTCAGATGAGCAAATATGTCATTTCAATTTTTTCACTAGTTTTAAATTCATTTTGTTTCACCAAGATATTTCTCAAGACTAAGGGACACAAGAATCTGCATTTCCCAGCAGTTATTGTGAAGAAAGCATCAGTAACAACTCAATGAAACAATTTTAATCACGGAGTGTGCACTCTTACCTGGAATTACTTAAAAAAAAAAAATAAAAAAATAGAAGGGCAGTGACACCAATAGTCAGCTTTAGTATTCAATCGACAAATAGATGAACAGTTTGCAAAACAATTAGAAAACCTAAATAAAATCATTCTAGGACATTTGTTGTTTTCTTTGAGAACCAAATTATGAATAAAGAGTGAAGTTTGATCAAAAAATTAATAAGGATCTATTCTAAATAGAGAATGCCAATAAGAGCATGATATTGTACAGCAGCAGGCAGATGTTTTAGATTCTAAAAGGGATAGATGCAATATGTAATAATAAAAAGTGAGTCTGAAGTGTTTAAGAAGGTTGTGAAAGGGGAGGAAAAAAATGAGAAGTTTCAGCCAAAGTATGAAAACAGTTTTAAAGTGAATTTTAAAAAGCAAGAATGAATTCATTTAAAAATGTGAACTCCAGTCCTGCAAAGGACTCTGTATTAACTCACTCTGGCCATGGACAAGAGGAAAAAAGCAGAACTTTGCAAGGACGTATCTTAACTACAAATCAATTAACATTCAAGACCGATGGGAAGGAATGCTGAATCTAGCCTCTGAATAACTGTAAAACAAAATTAAAAAAACCCTATCCCAAACTAAGTTAAGAGACTATACAGATGCAAAATATAAAAAATCTAGATGGGAATAGACCTGGAGCTAAGCCATATGGGTGAAACAATATATTAATGTAAAGGCCTAGCTTTGTGTGTTTGCTGATGATGCCCTCAAAATAAACCAAATGTCTTTTTTCACTTAAACTTTGAGAACTTTGTGTAAGGTAATCAGAACACAGAAACTGAGGCAAAGAAACAAGCAACAGGGACTACAATGTAAAGAAAAATAAGCATCTGGTGCTTAACTCACCTTATTAGAATGAACAGGCATATCACAGATAGAGCACAGGTGGGGATAGCCTTTCGGTAAGAGTCCATGGAAGTCTTCAATATTGCTATCTGGAGGAGCACCTCTTTTTTTCTCAAAGAGAGATCTCTCAGGGCCACGACCCATTCTCTCATACTCACTGTCAAATTTACGATACTTATGCGAAGTTTCACCATAATAAGAGTCATCCCTACACCTCTCTCCATCTCTTAATCTGTCATCTTCATAATCCATTCTGTCATAAACAGATTCTTGAGAACGACTTCCATGATCATAGTCAACCACTCGGTTGAGACTAGAACCACGATCATCAAAGCTATCTCTTCTAAAATGCCTTTTCTCTTCCCAATCATCCCTAGGAACTCTGTATGGTGGCTCCCGTGCAGCTGATCTGCCATCTCTAGCATAACTCAGTGAAGGGCCTTCTTCAGCTCTCCTCCTCTTAAGCTGCAGAAGTATTTGAGGCAAGTTTTCAGGAGTGATCTTGTCCTCAGGATAACGACTCAGTTCATCTAAGTCTCTAGCAGACAGACCAAAGCTGGCCAGAATGTTAGTGGCCTGCTCTGCATCTCCACGGTGCTGAGAAGACAGAGAGAGTGTGCCTCTATTTCCAATGTTAAATATAGACTGTAAGGCATGGGAAGATGCACTAGCAGAAGACAGTGCACTATGAGATCCTTGTTGATTCAATGAAGAACTCATTCCAAGATTCATTAAGCTAGCAAGGCGCGCAGTACCCTGGTTCATCCTTCCAAGAGATGCTGGCACATTTAAAGACTGGGTAGCAGCAGCAAGAAGGCCTATTCCTGCAGACAGGTCACGTCCATGACCTTGGGAATCCCTACTTAGAGATGACTGGTGGAATGACTTGGACATTGCTGTACTATAGCTTGTCTATTATGGATCAAACGTTAGAGATGTCTGAAAAGAAAGCTCACTCTAGAAAGCTAGGTAAACTTCACTTCAAAAAGGTAACGCCAAGAAAAGGAATCAATAATGACTGTAGATCTTCTTCAAGCTGAGAAACACCAGACAAGTCTGTAGAAAAACAAGCAATTTTAGTCATAAAACCCTTTATGTAGATGCAGTTTAAAAATGTATGCATCATGTTGATCTAAAAACAATTTAAGGTCTTATATGTCTTTCATTTATGCAACTTCAACAGACTGAAGATGCACTAAGAACTCTATTATACATAACCGCCAGATAAACATGTAGCTCCCCCCAGATAAGTACCAATTTTTGTCTATAATTCTGTATTTTTGTTTTGACGATAAATGGTGTTTCAGCACCTGATGTCTAGAATTGTCTATTTTCAAACCTTCACATTCATATAAGCAGGGTGCATACATCTTACTGATCTAGAATCCAGAAAAAGACCACAATATACTAGTCATGGAACCAAGAACTATAACTCACATTTCTTGGAAACTAAGCCTATTCCACTACAGAAAATGATAAAAGGAACTTAAGAGTAGCCGATATCTGGATAAATATCAAATGAATGAGTTATTAAATGAGACCACGTAAGTGCTATTCAGTAAAAATGAATTTTTGCTGTAAGACTTTTGTGAAGAATGGCAGATTAAATATTTGGTAGAAGGACACAAGACCTCTTTTTCAAGCAACAGTTCGTATGTTGTTAGCACCACATATGAACTGTATCCATGTATTTTAATACCATGCTGTGAACATGGCACAATTGTTTATACTGCAAGATTTTAAACCAATCAAGACCAGACCTCATCATCACTCTTTTGCTTTAAGAAGAGAAATGCTATACCCCTATTTCAATAATTCTATTTGTTAAAGGACATAGGTAGCTATCTTTCAGACGAGTCCTGAATGTTAAGCTACACCCACAGATATTAATAAGATTCCCATGACACATGAAATGACTACTTGTTTAATGAGCATTTTTCCTTACAGAGCTTATCTATCTTCTCCTATGCCAACAATAAGCATTAAAAAGCCCACTCACCTCCAAGTGGCCTTATAAGAAGAGAGGAGCTCATCAGATTTTTCTGAAGTACCCAAGAGTGCAAGTTCTGTGAACTCCCAAGGAAAACCAAGGCCTTAATTTACGTAGGCATTTTTGAAAGTCCCTCTAGCTGCAGCCTCAGAGTACCTACCCGACTCAGAGAATATTTGAGGGATGGGACATAAGCAGTGGTAGACCAATTATTCAGAGGAAATGTATTTCATAATCAGTTTCTCAAATCGCAGGAAAAGACTACAAACCTGCAGGGAAGTGTGCACAAGTATATTTTCTTTTGGAGTTGTATACTATGTTTATTGGTAAGTGGAAGTGTCAAAGCCAGTATTTTAGTTTTACCAAAGAACTCAGCTACTGCTAATTATAAGATGCTATAACATATAGATGCTTAGTTATTTTGCCTGAAAACCTGTATTATATGTACACTTAGATACAAAGAGAAAGCTCACATGCCATTTTAATGTGCAGCTTTCAACTCTGTTGCCTTAAGTGGCTGTTTATGATTACTCAATTTCCCAGAAACCAATTCTGTTACTATTATAATAAAGACAAGTATCAATGTAATATCCAATTACATTCTATTGAATTAAATGGAGGTGAGGAACAAATTGAAAAGCACTGATGTAAATGCAGAACTTGAAGAATAGTCCAGATACTGCAAGTGCAGAGATGTCAATGGAAGTAGAAGAGAAAGAAAGAGCAAATGTCAAGTGACAAACATAATATCCATGATACTAGCTGAACATAAGAATTTCTAAACAAAATAGTATTCTAACAAGTTTCCAAGATGCTGGCAATCCCATGCTCAGCAACAATTTTGCACACAGCTTTGGAACAAGAATTCTTAACTAGAAGATAAATATGCAGGCTTGAGAGCAACCATTTGTCTAGGGCATGTAAATTATTCCCAGACTAGCAGGTGCCAATACAGAACCAGAGCAATATATCCCATTTAAAGATCAGTACAGAGCCTGGCCAGCTTTCAGTACATATGAGGATTCTCTAGCTAGCACTATCTCAGCAAACACAAAGTGACTGAGTTTCCTCCTCAATTGTCTGCAATGGCAGAACTCCACTGGAATGTTTGCTGTTTTACCTCACTACTTTTTGCTTAACTTCTTGAACTGCTGAACTCAAGACCTAGTCATTAGTAAATATTTGAAATAATTTAATACTTGACACTGTTTACATGGAATCAAGGAGGAAGCCCAGATCATGAGTTTTGTTTATGTATATTTTCCCTTTGGAGATATGCACAAAATGCCTATAGTTATTCGAAGATGATAAAAGACTCTGTGCAGATGCATAGTTGCCCTGTTACTACAATGGTTCTTAGCCAGACTTTTTCTGACAGATTCTTGGATTTGTACGCAGGTGCTTGGATGGAGCAGTGCAAGGCCTAACTCAATTTAAACCCAGGGTGCAGTAGATGGAAGGAGTTTTTACATTCATCTGGACAGTCCTGAAATCAATGGCTGTCTTTAATAAAATATATGAACTGGTGCCAGTTTGGAGAAAAGGTGCAGCAGCAAAGAAAGGCATCTAAATGTTACTTCTTTACTTAATATTTAGGAGTAAACATAGGCTAATCATCACTTCAAACTAAGTATTGATGGTGGGAATGATAGGGATATCAACCCTTAGCTGCAAAACAATGGCATAAGTTGCTTTTTATTGTTAAGAGGCATCAGTTTCAGCCAATTAGCACCTTTCCCCATGTTTTAGAAGGCTGGCTCTCCTATGTGATCCGCTCTCTCTGAAGAGGGCATATTCAACCCCACTGAAGCTACTTCATGGTAGGAAAACTGCCAACAATGTGTTTTTCTTGGATTTTTACATTTGCAATTCCTGGACAGCTTATTATCTGCACTTTCAAGAGTCTGAGCTAGGAACATTTATCTGGATTTTGAGAAGTATTTCTAACTTGTTTGCAAGGCTAATTACACTCCATACAAAAAGCAAAACTCTACATCTCTCGTTTAAATTAGCTGCCAAATCTTTGGACAAAATCAGACCCAGCAGCATCTGAAGAGTACCTCCTGACAGAGTTGGGCTGCCCAGCAGATGGATTCACTGCATAGCCTGGTTTCCACACAAGCTGCGACTGCCCAGGCTTATTATGATATCGATGTAAACCTACAAAGAAAAAGGAGATATCAGAGAATGCTAAAAAAAATAAATAAAAAGCACCACAGAATACTAAATAAGAAGGTATAGTATGCAGGCAGAAATTGATTTGAAGAGAAATAAGCAAGACAACAGCAACAACAGAACTCCATATAAACTGGGTTGCTTTTACTTTTCAACTGATTGTACTTAAAAAAAAACAATGATAAAGGAATAGAACCGAGAAAAAAATTGATATTTTCAGAATGTTTAACATTTCCCTACATTACTCATATTTAATCTAGTGTCCCCTAAACAGTGTAGAAAATGTAAGGGAAGGGAAGAAAGAGTTGCTAAAATTATCGCAGCAAAAAGTCATCTCCCACTTTTCCAAGTGCTAATTCAAAGGACACTCCCTTCCAAGTTCTACAATTGGTTTCACTTTCACATGTGAAGATAAATCCTGAAGCAATAGAGCATGAAATCATTAGAACTTTGAACTGAGACCTGTTATGATTACACAGTAAAGTATTGCAACAACTGAAAAACCTTTTTGTTGTTACAATAAGAGATTAAGACTTTGCAGGAGAGTCTATGGTCAGAAATAAATGTTGGTTGGCAAAACTTGCTAGCAAATGGATATAAGCGGAGAAATTGGCAAACATAAATGGAGAGCCAAATTCTCACTAAGGCAAATGAAACTAGTCACATGCCAGAGTTTAAGAATTGTTTAAAGACCATGTCTTAATGGAAGTGTTTAAGAGCTGGAGATCTTCCCTTTGGCTTCTAGAAGCCACCAGAGTGCATATGGAGAACAGGATCTCCTGTCTACATGTGCTGGTTCTGTCCCAGCATTAGAAATTTCTAAAGAATATTTGAGAATAGAAAACATACAGCTGGATATTTTTATTAGAATCTGAAGGAGAGACTTTACATAGAGATGATCTCCCAACTGTTAGAAGAGAGGTACCTGCTAAGGATCAGTCTAACCTACAGTATGAGCATCATACAGAAGAAAATGGGAAAATTATGAAAAAATGACTTTTCAGAGCATCCAAGATGCATTCATTAATATACAGCACCTCTTCATGCAGAATATGTTACTCAGAATGCTGCCTGTCATTACAAAATTGTTACTTTACCTATCCTGTCTCTTGTAGGATCTTGTTTTGAATAGTGTATCTCTTACTTACTGAATAAAAACATCTATGATGTTACATTTTGTATATGGTATATATATATTTGTGAATATGAAAATATTAAGCCATTTCATTTTTTAAAAACATGGTTAGACTATTACACTGTTATTCTAAAACTGATTTGGCAGTGTCAAAATATTACTAATTTCAGTACGATGCCTGAGGCAAAAGATGCCATTACTGTTTCAACAGTAATTACCCACTTTGCACAAACACACTAAAAATGTGAACACTTGGGAGTTCCAAACACTCCCAAGAGTCTATTCATGACTTAAACACAGCCAGAGTTAACTCTTAGTTTTTCCTTTCCCACCCAACACATATTTCCCACAAATTCTTTGTCTTAACCTCTTAATATCAAATTATAATTATAGTTTGACACCTAGAACCATTCACTCCATCATCCCCAATTACAAGCTTTTCCTTCTTTCTATTGTTTTTCTTGCATTTCCCTTTGGAGTGAGGAGCTGTTTTTGGTTATAAAGCTGCAATCCATGTATAGTGCTAATTAAACCATTAGCTTCCTTATCTTAAAGCACATGTTTGGTTAACAAAGGTGATATTGTGGTATATTTACCATTCAGTGACAAATACTTAAGCCTGTAAACCAGTTGATGTTTTAGTATATATTCATGACTTAATACAGGGTGGCACAGGGAAATGGGAAATTTTCAATTGACACTCAATGCATGAATAAACACATTACAAAATACATTTTATGATGAAATGTATTGTACAGGATATGCTTGTACAGGATAATGATGGTAATCAATATTCATTCAATATTCATTTTATGTCTTGAAGATAACATCATGAAGGTGTTGTCCATTTCTCTGTACACATTCTGACAGCCCATTGTGGAAATTCTGTATTGCTTGATATGTCAAGAGGAATGCCAGCAATTGTTCACAAAACTGTTGTGTCAACAAAACTGTTGACACAACATGTGGCCATTGGGTCTGAATTCCTGCACAATCTGCAATTTGTAGGGATGCAACTTCAACTCATGCAGTATACTTCGTCACCCCAAACGTAGCAATGACGTGTTTGTCGAATGGAGCGCGAGGGCTCCTCATGATGGCAGCATGAACAGCCTCAATTTTCTCTGGTGTGTGGGCTGTTTAAACACCACCTGGGGACTTCTTTAAGGCTGAACCCATTTCTTTGAAATTATGCACCCATGTTGTAATCGCATGAGCAGACAGAACACGATCATGACGGCCTAACTGGTAATGACATCAATATTCCCTTTGCACAGTGGTCACACTATCACCGTTCTTATAAAAGGCTTTCACAGCTAATGCCCGTTGCATACCACTCCACTGTTCCATTATCACTAATGGCAAGCAGTTCTAAACAAGGTCACACTGGTTCCAAACAATTGTGGATGCCCCAGGGTCGCCGACTCCTAGTTCCAAAATTTCCCGTTTTCCTGTGGCACCCTGTATCTGACATAGTGCTAATCAGGAGACAGCTTATTCATTTTTAGCCTATAGCCTAGTCTGTCTGACTGACTGACTGACTGACCAGGCAAATGCCACTTAATAATGGCCAAATATCTGAAGTATTAATTTAATGGAATTCTAACAAAGAAACTAACTAGTTAAATATGAATAACTTCAATTATAACCTAATATAACATAACAGGTTTTAGCATTTACCTTGGAATCCCGGAGAACACAAATAGTTACAAGTTGTTTAAAATGAAGCCATAAAAATGAAACCATAATGTTTAAACATTATCTATACAGAGTATGTAAAGAGAATGTTAGAAGTTGTATAGGGCAGAGGTTCATTTCTCAACTGTGCAAGTACAGTGGTGCCTCGGCTCACGAGCGCCTTGGTTCACAACCAAATTGGGTCACAAACAAAAATTTCATGAAAATTTTGACTTGGGTCACGAACTCCGCATTGGGTGGCAAACAAGATTGTGGCCATCTCCCTGCCACCCCGAGTGGGGAAATGGCCATGATCGCAGTTGCGTTCGTGCAGGGAAGACGTGCATGATCACAGGCGTGCTCCTGCAGGAAAGACGGGTGCAATCTCAGCCATCTCCCCCCGCCCCCAAACAGCACAATCGTGGCCATCTCCCCCCCCCCACGCCAAGCGGGGAGATGGCCACGATCGCAGTAGCATTCGTGCAGGGAAGACATAGAGGACAGAAGAACTTGCTGAACTCCAGAGTGAGCAGCAGAAGGCACTTGCTGAGGAGGGTTCCACTGAGGAAGAGGAAGACAGGGAGGAGGTTAGCAGTGATATGATATAACCCATTATGAAAAAATGGAATGAGTGCCAGGATTTCTTTGAGAAGCACCACCCCAACATAACTGTAACAAACAGAGTGTTGCATCTGATGAACGATAACGTGGTCTCTCATTTCTGGAGGGTTATGCAGAGCAGGAAAAAACAAGTGACTATAGACAGATTTTTCACCAAAATTGACCCTGCAGCTAAGAGACAAAGAAGAAAGGAAACCCCTGAAAAAGATCTCCCCACTGTCCTTATGGAGGGGGACTTGCCCTCAAAACAATAACCTCCCCTCCACCTAGGTTAGTGTTCTCCACTGTATTGTACTGTACTTAGTTGCTTTGTTGTTCTTTGTCACTTTGATTCAATTTTTTCTGATTAAAAAAAATAGTTACAGAACAGATTAACCTTATTTACATTGAACCTTATGGGGAAATTTGACTTGGTCACAACCAATCTGGGTCACAAGCAGAGTCATGAAACAGATTAAGTTCGTGAGCTAAGGTACCACTGTACCTTATATGGTCACTCAGTCACTCCTGCAGGCTGGGTCTGCAAAACAAATACCTCCCAGTCCTTACTTTGTATTAAGATTTTTTTAAGCTAGGGAACCATATCCTTAAGGGCATCATTAGTTTCACAAAATTGTTACTCCTTTTAATAGGAAGCTCTGGTTGCAAGCACTAGCATGAATCAAAGGGTAACAGAGAATCAAGGAGGAATTAACATGTTTTAGTGAAGCCTGGGGCCCCCACCCCCCCAAAAAAAAATCCCAGTGAAGTTTGAACTTAGGAGCCTCCAGCAGCCACAGGATTTTTGGGTATCAGCTGGAGGAGGAGAAAGGGGGGCTTGAATTGATTACTTAAGCCCCTCACAGTTTATGGCACCCTTGAGGGACAGCATGGCTAGACCCTGAGCAAGAGCACATTTTGCTGCCAGTCCCACTAGTATTTCATAACACAAGCCAGTCAGTTGACAGGCTACTGTTATGTAACAAACCATGCCTCATCAAGCAACCATCATCACATTAAAAGTAGACAAGACTGGGCTAGATAGACCAAGACAGCTCTGAATGTCTTACACTCAGTGATTCAGTGAAAATAGTGAAGTGCTACTGATACAACCCTCTATAACCTGCTAAAAGGCTGTTTAAATCTTACAGGTTTCAAATGCAGTCCTTGTTAAAAGTTTTAAAGATACCAAAGGTCTGAATACTCTGTCTGAATCTGAAAAAGACCTTTAATATAAGGGTTGCTTTGTGAGAACTTTTCCAGTCAGTCCAGCTACAACAATGGGTGCAAAAGCATCCCAAGAAAGGGACCATGAAGTGAGTTTGAAGTTCATCAATAACTACTGAGACCTACCATGTACAGCTTCCAAATCATTAGGATCTCTTGCCTGAATTTAAAAGAACAAGCCTTAATCTAGCCCTGAACATTGTGAATGAGTCCTAAATGCAAGGCAGAGAAAAGGAAGAAACTGAGCATAAACATTTCACATTAATATCTAACTATGAATATTTTACTGGTTATAGCCATTAGGCTCACGAAGTGAATTACTTCAGAGCAAAAAGGAAAATGCCTGAAGAGGCAGAAAGATTCCTGTCCAAATGCAGGAGTGGAAGAGACCTTACCAAGTTGGAGAAATGCTGCTTTGACAACTGTGGAAACATTTGAAAACTAGGATTCAGAGTATATTTTACAGGGAACAGTATAATCTATTTCACCTGATGATAATTTATAAACATATCAGGCACTTTTCCATCTGCAACAAGTTTGAAATTAAGTGCCTTCGATATTAACATGTTGCACTTATATTGCTCCTCCTTAATACAATTTTACCTAAGAGCAAATGTCCTAATCAACAGAATATAGTAATACCCAGGAGGAGCACCAGTATTTTCTTACATCAAACTATGACAGAATAGGAGTTACTGGTATACATGCAGGGTCTGCCATTTGAAAAACTGCAGCAGGAAGGGCACTGTATCCCTTTCATTCTTCTTCTCACAGTCACCTTCTAGTCTGTATTTCCACTGCTACTAAATGAATCAAGATAAATTTTCCTTCTATCGTAAGATATTCTAACACTCTAGAAAAAGGAATTATTGGAAAAGATATAGATTCTCAAATGTCAAGTCTTTTATAGCGTACATATAATTATGAAGCTTGTTTCTTACATATCCTCCACAGAATATGGAAAATATAAATTCTCAGATAAAAACAAGGCAAATTTTAAATTACACGTATTACTTGGAGTTTTTAGAAGATTGCATTTTGCCTCAACCTAGGCACCAATAAATAAATAAATAAATCCACAATGCATTTTGAATCCAAAATGGTTTCAAAAACCAAGTCTTTCATGTGTTTTGTAAACAAAGAACATATGCCTCAGTAGACACAGTACTGTCATAAGTATGCTTATTTCTAAGTAAGCCCACCAAGATCAATAGAATTTACTCCCAAGAAAGTATGCACAACATTACAGTCATAAACATTAAAAGGGAGGAATACAAGATGACACAGGGCAAGGGTAGGAAACACGGAGTCCCTGAGTGCCAGTGTGCTCCAATCATCTCCTTTAGTACCCATCAAGACACCCCACTCTTCCCCTTTGCTCTACATTTTTAAAAATGTTCTACATTTTCATAGTCAGCTGGCATAGCTCCAAAGTGAAGTAGGAACCACTGGTTGTTACCATTTTAATTTCCTGTGAATGCCCCTGGGCAAGTTACATTGTGACCAGACAGGCTCCATAAACCAATTTTATGGTTGTGTCCAGGACAATTTCTCATATTTCCAGAAAAGCTCACATGGCCACAAAGGCTGTTTGCCCTGGCATGCAGGATAGTTACAGCCTACTTTATCTCCATATTTAAAGAAGGATACAAGTCACTTAGGTACATTTTTATTCATTCATCATAACACGTCAAGTTGATTTATCTATTCATTAAGTTTGTATAAGAGTAAAAAGAATTCCAGACCAAGAAGCAAACTTTTATGTTGTTTCTATGGTGTCCTTCTGCCAGCAGAACAGACATTGCTGGAAGATTGACAGCAGCATCCAATCGATACACTTGACCTCTGCTGGTTCTGTTTTACTTGAGAGAGATTGCTTCAACAAGTGGGTCTTTGCGTTTCTAAAAATACCACATATACGAGCATATAAGACTACCCTTGAAACCAAAAATAGCAAAGCAAAAATTGGGTGGTTGTCTTATATGCCAGGTGTTGCTGAGTCCAGTGACTCTCCTGCCCTCACCGGGGGTGGCAGTGGCGCGCCATTCAGGCTTGGCTGCAAAAGTGACTGGGAAGAGGAGAGTTCCCTACTCTGGGGGAGTTCCTTCTGTGTTGTGTCCTGTTGCTTCACAAGTCTCACATGCAGCTGAACACTTACTCCTGTGTCTGGTGCCCGTCTGCCCTTGCTGCCACATACTGCAGTTTTCAGAGGTACTTGCATTACAAATAGTAACTTATAAAAATCTGCTGTCCAATTAATTGGGAACACTGTTGAAAGCTTTTTTTGATGGCTTACTGTATATACCGGCTTATAAAATGCCCTGTGAAAAATTGGGGGTTGTCTTATATTCCTGACATACAATAAAAACCAGAAAAACAGCCTTGTCTTATATGCAAGTCACCTTATATGTCAACATATGCACTTTTTTCTCAGTCAGGACAGTTCAGTGGAGTTGCCTTCTGCAACCTGCCCTGCTCTGAAAACTAATGTTTTTGCTCATTTTAAGTTATTTTGGAAGTATAAAAGACCTATTGTGTGCAAACAGTCATTCCCTTAAGCACATAACAATAGGATACTGCCTTGAATTTCCCCTCTTGCTGCAGTTCCCATGGGCACCCCAAATCTGTTTCAGAAAAGATACAAGAAGGGACACTTCCACTGCAGAAGTGTCACTCACATAAGGCTGAACTTTGCCCTTTATTTTTAAGATGTGTGTCTTCATAGGGATTGTATTATAAGAGGCATTCCTCCATTAGAGAAGGAAGAATGCAGATAGAAGTTCCCTCTAAAGAGCTACTTCTTAGTTTAAAAAGACCTCTAATATATTGATGAGGTCATATTTTAGCCAATGCAACTTTTAACTGCTTCATTAGTACAGTCACCACTGTGAGATGGAAGTTTGGGGAAAAAATAGGAATTGTTGCATAACAATTAACATAATGAACACACAGAGAGACTGAGCAATTGGATTGGGTATAATGCTCCTTAAATCTAAAGTAAAAATCTATTTATTTTTCAGGTGACAAACCCGATGAAGCACATTTATATAGATAGCTCAGCAGGCATACCAAAACTAGTTTGATTTTAGTGCATTCATTTTTTCTTTTAATAATATAAACTATTTAAAGGATGAGCATGCTGTTGAGTGGTCATGCCCCAATATATCCAAACATTTTCAGTAGAACTTTAAATGTTGTATTCAAGTGAATTTAAATATACTGCCACAGTATTCCCACTGTTTCAGTTAAAGCACTTTTAGTTGTTTAGAATATCTTTAAATATGCATAACTATGTAAAATTAACACAAACTTTGTCAAACAAACAGGTAAGACAGAACTCTATTAAGGGCACCCCTACCCCCCCCCCAAAAAAAACTCCAATGACAAAGTTCCTGGAAACCCCACTTCACTGGTTGCAGTCCTACTTCAAAGTGATGCAACAACATACCCATTTAAAATAGTTCCAATTTTACATATATACAATAAGATCTGAGCTGGCAGGAACTGATAAAGAAAGTTCTTGGGGTCATGGTGGCAAGTTTGATGAAAAGGTGACCCAATGTGTTGTGTTGTTATTGTTATTGTTGCTTTTGTTTTGTAAGCTGTCCAGAGACTTTTAGTATTGGGATGGCATATAAAAAACTTTAAATAAAATAAAATAAATATGCAGCTGCTATGAAAAAAGCAAATTCTATGTTGGGCAAAATGAGAAATGGAATAATCCAAGGAACAACCACACTTAGAATATTGAGTACAGTTCTGGTCATCACAACTCAAAAAAGGATACTGAGAGCTGGAAAAGATGCAGAAAAGACAAAATGATCAAGGAACTAGAGCAACTGTTCTATGAGGAAAGGTTACTATGATATTTAGTGTAGAAAAAGCATAGGGAAGGGTAGGAAAGGGGAGACAGGATAGAGGTGCACAAAATCATGCAAGGTGTATGGAAACTGGATAGACTTTTTTCTCTATCTTTCATTATACTAGACCCCAGAGTGATCCCATGAAGCAAAATGGTGGAAGAGTTAAGACAGAAAAGAGGGAGGAAATTAGACAAATTGAAGAATAAAGCTATCTATGTCTGTTAGTACTGACTGTTACATATTATCTCCAGTGTCAGAGACAGTATGCTTGTATATACCACTGGCTGTGTGCTATTGCATGTTCAGTATGTTGGCTTCCACAGGTACCTGGTTGGCCACTACATGAATGCTGGTCTAGTTTGATCTGATTCAGAAGTTTGTTTGTTTTTGTTAACAGAAAGAACTCTGCTAGCTTACTCTCCTGGCAAAGATTTGTATAAGGGAAGTATGATCTTGGCATTTTTATTTTCCTAATTATTTCTAACATGGAGTTTTCATTTTCATCAAGCTGTCCACCACAACTCCAAAATCTCCTCTTCAGTCAGTCACTACTAGCTCAGATCCCTCAGCTTGCACTTAAAACTTTATTTTTTTTTCTTTTGCTGTGACCTGTTTCTATTAAACTGTATTTGCCATTCTGATGCCCTTTCTCCTAGCTTGAAGAGATCACTTTGTGGCTCCTCACAATCCAGTTTGGTTTTATCAACTCTAAATAGTTCAGCATCAGCAAACTTTGCTACTTCACTGTTCATTCTGAATCCCAGATCATTTATGACTCAGTTGAAAAGCACAGGTCCTTATAAAGAACTCCATGGGACTTCACTTTTTACATCCCTCCAATAGAAGAAATTACCATTTACTCCCACTCTCTGCTTTCTATTTTTAATCAGTTACTGAACCATAAAAGGACTTTCCTCTTTATTCTGTGACAGTTCAATATGCTCAGGAATCTAGTAAGGGAGTCTGTCAAAGACCTTTCGAAATTTCAAAGAAATAACATCTACCAAATTGCTTCTGTTCAAAGCACTCTAGCAGGTTAGCGAGAGGGACTTACCTTTATCTACTATTTTTATTCTTTTTCAGCATAGCTTGTCCCTCATATGCTTTGAATAATGCTTTTAACCAATCTACCCAGAACAGACAATAACCTGTAATTTCTTGGATGATCCTGTAACCCTAGCATTACATTGGCTATTCTCCAGCCCTTTCATACAAAGGATGATCTTGGGACATGTTACATATTTTGTAAGGCCAGAAATGTCATATCTGAACGCTTTAAAAAATCAAGTATGCATATCACCTGGGCCTGGTGATTTACTAACTTTCGATTTGTTAGAAAGCTTACAATAAAGCCCTGTAGGTCAAGGAAGCAATGGCCATTCTTCAAATATACCTCAACCAGTAAGCGATCTATCTGGATATAAGCATCCTTGAGCACAGCAGGCCTGCTTAAAGATAAATATACACAGACCTTAATTGAACAGTGTCGGTAACAGAACTCAAAAAAAAATCGTTTCTTTTCTCTTTTATGCGCAACCCACTGTACAGAAGCAGCCAATAACGTGAGTTGAAGACACCACTTTTACCAACCGAGATAAATTAGATAAAATTATGAACAATTAGGGCCTTCATATAGAAGAACGTGGAGAAAACAAAAAGGTATCGGAGGGAGCCAATAGCAGAAGATGCTTTGGAGACTAGCGCATGCGCACGATCATTCTTCGAGCTCCGGCGCCATGGCCTACTTCCCTGCCCGTGAACGGACACAACCACCCCTCAGCTCCAGTTCCACGGCTTTTCTCCCCTCGCGCATGCGCACCAACTCGCTTGAGTCTAACGGCATTATTTCTCCGCTTTCCTCAACTCTCCCCTCCCCTCCCCTCCCCTCCCCGGTTTCCAACGGTCCAGGCCGAACGGCGCAGCAAACGAAGATTTCGCGGCCTGCTAGGAGCAGGCGCGACCCAGTTATACCACTCCTACCTCAGTAAGCAATTGAGTCTTTCACTTATTTGCCACCGCCGCCACAAATGTAATCTGAAAAAGGGACGAGGGAAAGGGAGGGGGAAACACCCCGAGACGAAGCTGCGCAGACCTCGCTTTCACACGGCTTCCACTAGACCGCTAATCCATGCGTAACGCATGCGCCGTCTCTCCACCGGATGTTCTGTGCGCATGCGCCTCTCCTGCGCGCGAACGTTTCGCCCGCCCCGCCCCTGCTCTCCATTCCCTCGCGAGAACTTATATAGTTTGGTTTCTCTCATTTTGTTTTCATCTTTGCTGTCATCTAGATCTGTTTCTTATTGGGGAAAATACACGAGTACGGAGTGTCTTCTTTGTCTCTTGATCGCCTAGGTTTACCCCTAACAGAACCCGGGGTTGCTTCATTTCTTTCTGTGGCCCGTTAGGAGGAAATTTTTAAAAGGGAAACCAGGAAGTTTCATCTCCAGACAATAGGGTGTGTTTTCTCCTTTCTTACCTCTATGGCAGCATTCGCAAGTGCTCCAACTTGCGAACGCATTTCTTTTCAATGGACGGAGCTAGCTTCCCTTCTCTAGAATGTACCTGACGTAGCTCCTTGTGATTGGTGAAGTAGGCGACGCGATCGGCTTTAGCTCCATACTGGAAGGAAGACGCGAAAGGAGGTAGGGAGTGACCGGAGGAGAAAAGGAAGGGGCTTTTTTCTTTTACGGAGGAAAATCCGCCGCCAGTTTCCTCTTGGTTAAGCTGCTAAGTCCTTGCTCTCTCCCTCTGATCGTGCCTTCGCTTGCCTTGCGCCGGCGCTTAAGTAACCTTCCCCAGCCTGGTGCCCTCCAAATCACAGAATAGTAAAGTTGGAAGGGGCCAAAAGGCCATCAGGTCCAACCCCCTGCTGTTGCAGGACACCAGTTTACACCGTCCCACTCAGATGACAGTACAGTTTCTTCTTGAATTTCCCTAGTGTAGGCAACTGGTTCCACTGTCGTATTGCTCTGACAGTGAGGAAGCTTCTCCTGGTATCTAGCCTGAATCTGGTTTGTTGCAACTTAAGTACATTATTCTGTGCCCTGCGCTCTGAGATAACAGCTCCTTCAGCTTTGTGACAGCTGTTCAGGTACATGTAGAGTGCTATCATATCCCCGCTCAGTCTTCTCGAGGCTGAACACACGGCAGTTCTCTCAGTCTCTCCTCACAGGCTTTGTTTGCAGTCCTTGGATCACCTTTGTTGTTCTCCTCTGAAACCTTTCCAACTTTTCTGCATCTTTCGGAAATGACAATGCTCAGAACAGGACACAGTATTCAAGATGAGGTCTGACTGAGTGCTGAGTATAGGGGAGCTAGTACTTCATGGGATTTGGACGTGATGCTTTTATTAATGCATCGCAAAATAACAGCTATATCATACTGTTGGCTCATATTTAGTGTGTTGTCCACAACCACGCAAGAGCTTTCTCTTTCAGTATGGCTGAGCCAAGTATTCCCCATCTTGTATCAATGCTTTTGCTTTCTTTTTCCAAGGGAGAGGGCTGCCATCACCCCAAGCCCGTGGGATCAGTGAGGGAGGACTGTAGTCCCAGACATATGGAGGGCACCAGGCTAGGAAGGCTGTATCATGGTCCTCTGTCGCGAATACCAGGGTCAGCTTGTGTTTGGGTCAAAGCTTTCGGGAGTGCAGTGGGTGGGGGCTCGTATGGTTGCATGTGACTCTGGAAACAGATAAGAGCAGGTAGAAAACAAATCGCCTGGAAATCATCACCGTCTGGGCATGTGAAGCTTTCAGTGATGGGAGCTCCTTGTCCTCACAGTGTCAACCAGGCACGGGTTGGCCACCTCTGTTAGAGCCTAGCTGAAGAAAACAGGTGTAGCAGGCACTGACAGCCAAGCGGTGTGCGGCTGAGGAATGCGGAAGCCTCCTGGGTTTTGGGAGGAAGATGAGAAGTACATGGTGGGCAGGAAGCAGCTTTACTGTGCTACCTACATGCCTTCTTTTTGTGTGATTGGAGCCAGTCCATACTGGTGCTGAGCGTTTGACTGGTGAAGTGCTGCTTAAGTGAGCTTTAGAGCATTACCATCAGGAGCACAATAAGAGAATCACCCCTAGGTCTAGTATTTCTTACAATGAACAGCAGCAGAGGTTAGCTGATGGTATGAAACAAGGAATCACCTTATAGATGTATCAAATTATTTATTTAAATTATATAGCTCTTTTGTCCTGCCCCCAAAGAGCTTGAGGTGGGTCCAGGGGATGACACTTCTTTTGCTGCAGACGCTGCGCCCAACAAGACTTTCTGTTCAGTATCTCCATGTTAAAGCATCTTGAGGGGCATTGCATCATAACTCATTCCCATGCCACGAAGGTAACAACTGAAATCCTGGGCAATGTAAGAGAAACCACTGTTGCCTGTGTTTCTGGAAGGGACGATGGTAGCAGGTGAAGTAGCAGCAATATGAGCATCTGTCACAGGGCCAGGGCCTTCTGACATCTACTTTTGCCACTTGAAAAGGAGCTACCCTGCAGCCATTACCATGCTGCATCATGAAGCATGAAAAGCTGGGTGGCCCTTTGATTCTGTTCTCAGTGACAATTGAAAGCCTATAATGGGAAGTATTTGTGCCAACTAAACAGTGAGTCCTGAGCAGATCACCCTCAGAAGGCAGCAATAATAGCATGGCGCCAGCCTATTGCTGCAATTCTGCCAGTTTTCCTTTTTGTACTTAAAAATTGTTTGGTTAATATTCCTTCTAGCATGTTTCTCCACATTTCATTGGTTTTCATTACCTTGTTTATTGCTTTTAACAGTTCTGCCCCCCTCCCCCAGTGGTTAGTCATCTATAGAGTGTCCCCAAAAGATTTCAGCTTTTTCTGTGGAGCTATTAAAACATATACTGGGGGAGATTTTCTCCTACCCCTTAGTCCTTTTATGTATGATGCTGTGTTTCTTTGAAGCATTCAAGAACTGGGACTCTTTCCAGAAGTTATGGAAGCATTTAAATATGAACAGTTCAGAGCCAACATGTCTAAGTGAACAGCATGCATTTTATAAATAAATAAATAAATTTATTCTCCCTTTGCAAACATTAGAAACACAGAAACAGAGCGAGTCAGAAGGGGCCTCCCGGGCCATCTAGTCTGACCTCCGGCACCAGCCGGCTCCGCTCACAACATGCCCACCATGTGGACGTCCAGGCTATCCTTGAACACCCGCACCGATGGGGCCTCAACGACCTCCCGTGGAAGCCCATTCCACACCCTTGGGGCCCTGACTGTCAGGAAGTGCTTCCTGGCATCCAAAGGGAACCTTGGCTCCCTGAGCTTTGCTCCATTGGAGCATGTCCTGCCTTCCTCTGCAGGGGAGAATAGATCTCTACCCATCTCCATGTGACATCCCCTCACATACCTGTATGTCGCCAACATATTCCCTCCGAGTCTCCTCTTCTCCAGGCTGAAGAGACCCAGTTCCCTCAGTCTTGCCTCATACAGCATCCCCTGTAAACTGGCCACCAACCTTGTGGCCCTACGCTGCACTGACTCTAACCTGGCTATATCCTTTCTGTAATGAGGGGCCCAAAACTGAGCACAATACTCCAGTTGTGGGCGCACCAGAGTCATGTAGAGTGGCAGTAATACCTCTCTTGATCTAGAAGCCACACTTGACTTCAAGGGGGGTGACTCTAATCTGTGTCCCTAAGCCCCCAGCCTCATCTAATCTCCTATGCAGATATCCCCCGTCCTGCTTTGAGGAGAACACAGAGGCAAAATAGTCATTTAGCGTCTGTGCTTGTTCCCTCGTATCAGTCACTGGATCGCCTTCCTCCTTATTTAGTGGTCCCACCACTTGTCTCCCCTTCCTCTTCCTATTTACATGCTGAAAGAAGCCCTTTTTGTTGCTCTTGATATTCTTGGCAAGTCTCAGCTCATAATCAGCCTTAGCCTTGCGAAGAATCCTTCTGCAATGGGCCTCCTCCTCCCGGTATACCCTTTTGTCTATTTCCCCCAGTACCCATTTCCTACGAAGGTTCCTCTTTCGTCTAATCCCTCTAACCACCTCCTTTTGCATCCATGGCGGCACTCTCCTCCGCCTCCCCACCTTACTGACTAGAGGTATTGTCAAGGCTTGTGCCTCCAAAACCTTCCTTTTGAGTGCTATCCACCCCTCCTCAACTCGCTTACCTTCCAGTAACCTATCCCAGGAGACTTTCCCCAGTCTGGCCTTCAGTTGGCCAAAGTTGGCCCTCTTGAAGTCCCAGCTTCTAGTGCTCGACTTGCTGCACGTCCCCAGTCCCCTGATCTCAAAGCAAAGGATGGAGTGATCACGTGCATTCAGAGCTCCCCTAATCTGTACTTCATCTATCAGCTCCTCCCTATTGGTCAAGCCCAAGTCAACGATGTTTCCCCCCCTTGTCGCCTCTCGGACCCTCTGTGTGAAAAACCCTCCCTCTATAGCTTCTAGGAAGCGACGTGACCTGGCTATCACCGCCGAGTGAGTCTCTCAAGTAATATCCGGGAGATTGAAATCTCCCATAATTACTGTGTCTCTCCCCCGAGATATCCTTAGAATCTGGCCTGTCAGGACATCATCCAGGGTCTCAAGGTGACCTGGAGGGTGATAACATACCCCCACTGTCAGGTCTCTTTCCCTGTCAAAACCCCTAAGTTTCACCCAGACTGCCTCTACCAAATCCCCATCTGTGCTGCATTCTATCTCACTGCATCCTATCCCTTCCCTGACATGTAAAGCCACACCCCCACCCCTCTTTCCCTTCCAGATCATACTCTCCTATTCCCAGGAGAGCTTCAAGCTCTTCCTGCTTATTACCCATGCTCCTAGCATTGGTGTACATGTACCTCAACTCCTTCCCACCGCTTCCTTTCCTTGGAGTTCCCATCCTCCTCCTTCCTCCCATCCTCCCTGATACCTGCCCTTCTCTGTAGGAGTCCTGTCAGTCCCTGCAGTACCTCTAAAACCCTGCTCCCAGAGCCCTGATCCTCCCCCCACACTTGTCCAATGCAGACACGTTCCTGGGGGGCCTGAACCCCCCCCCCCGGCTCAGTTTAAAGTCTTCCAGACAAATCTTGCTAGAGCATCTCCAAAGGACCTTTTACCCATCCTCGTGAGGTATAACCCATTGCTTACCAGAAGTCCATTGGCAAGAAAATGAGTGCCGTGGTTGAGGAACCCGAAGCGTTCCTTCTGGCACCACTCCCTAAGCCAGTCGTTCACCTCGGAGGCCCCCCTGTCCCTTCCTGGTCCAAATCCCCGGACAGGTAAGATTGACGAGAAGGCCACTTGGACCTTTAGCTCCCTGAGTTTCTTCCCCAAGGCCTCAAAGTCCCTGGTGATCCCAACCACATCCTGCCTGGCCACGTCGTTTGTGCCCACATGGATCACCAGGAGTGGCTGGTGACACCCGGAGCAAACAAGACGCTCCACTCTGTCCTTCACAGAGTGCACCCGGCAGGCAGCAAACCTCCCTTGTCTCCAGGTTGGGGTGGCACACCACTGCCTCAGTGCCCCTCAGCAGGGAGTCCCCAGCAACAATCACCTGCCGCTGTGCCTTCCTGGTCTTGGTGGGCAGCCGTGCCCTGGCCCTCGCCTCTCCTGCAGCGGCCCCCTTGCCGCCTGTCGTCCCAGGCTGGGGGTCCTGCTTGTCGCCTGAGGCCTCATCAGCCCCAGCCTCCCCAAGTGGAGAGAACCTATTTCCCAGCTCCAGATTGGTGCCAGGAGAAGGAGGAGGCCGTGCTGGCCTCCTCCTCCTGTGGGTGGCATACCTCCATGTCTCTGCAGCTGCTTCTCCAGTGGCCTCTCCCTCAACCCTCTGTCCAGAGTGGGGCTGCTCCCAGGGGGCCTGGAGAGCTTTCTCGGCCCTCAGGCACCTCACCTTCTCTTCCAGCAGGGTCACCATCTTGCACCGAGGGCAAGTGTATCCCTGCCTCTCCTGGGGGAGAAGGGCGAACATGTCGCAGATGTTGCAGCGGACAGCAACACCCGTGACTCCCACCAAGGCCATCTCCTGGTCTGCCATCGGTATCCCTTCCGAGACCTTTCCTTGGTCCCCTGCCTTGTTTGTCCTGCAGTTCCTCTCACTTGCCCAGTTCTCCCAGACAAAAACCCACTTGCGCGCATGCGCGTGCGCACACACACACACACGCGGATAAAGTAAACTTAAATTTAAATTGGAAGAAAAACAAAGCAAAGCTCAGCACAAAAAACAAACAAACAAACAAACCTCTGTGTCCCAGGGAAGGGAGTCCCCGGATAGCCTGGGCCACAACCAAGGGACGCAGTCAAGGGACATCGCCCTTAACGCGTCGCCATTGGCGCCGCATCCGTTGGCACCACCAATGGCTGAGCTCAGCCTTATCAGTTCCTCAGGCCAGTGGCCCCGCCTGTCCGCTCCCTCCTGGCCCCTCCGGCCTCTCTGGCCCCGCCCCCTTCCTCTCTGCTGCTCCTGGCCCTCTGCTCCCCTGCCCAGCTCATGCCTTGCCTTTGCCAGTCCCCTGGCCACTCCGCACTCTCTCCCAGCCTGTGTCTCTGCTGCTCTGCCAAAAGGCTAGAGCCAAAAAGCATTAACAATTAATGGGATTAATTAATTCCATTAAACATTAACAATGGGATTGATTATACCCACAAGTAGCATAGTGGCTGGGTGATCTGGTGTGCTTCCTACTTCTCTATCACATAATCAAAGAAAGATCTCATGCATTTGACCTGGTTGTAGTTGTCACCGACCCTGCCTTCTTCCCCCAGTCCTCTGACACACCCACACACACACACGTGATTTGAAGGAAAAATTGGGTCAGTTTTTCACTTTGTCTCAAGTTTTGAAGACACTTGGGTGCCACAGGAGATCTTGCTTTCCAAAGTCTTGTGCAGGGGCCACTGTTACTTCCCACAAGTTCTCAGTATATGCCAGAACACTGGGAAGATTTAGTTTCTGTGACCTGGTTTGCACATAATGACAATTCAAATTTTAGATTGAATCATGGGTTGTTGCAAGATGGAAACTCTGCATGATGAATTAACCATGGGTTGTTAACCACAAACAATCAGGATGCAAAGTAATGGTTGTTGAGTTGTAAACTCTATAGATTGTTGCTGGTTAACAACCCCTAGTTCAGAGTTTTCATGTGATAACAATTCATGATTTAACAACAAACCATACTTAAACCTTAATCCTGGTTTGGATGTAACAAAGCCACAATTTGCTAAGACTAAGAGAAAACTGCTAAGAGTAAGAGAAAAGTAACTTGCTCACGAACCAAACAACATGGCAGAGGTGAGACCTGAGCTTCTAAAAAGAAAGCCACTAATTTATTTTTTATTATTTATTTATTAAAACATTTTTATGCCGCCCCATTCGCCGAAGCCTCGGGGCGGCTTACAACAATTGTTAATGTTTAATTTGGACCTAAAGAGGTCGCTGGAGGGTGGCACCTTGTTTGCTGTGTGCTAGTGTCCCAGTTAACCCTTTTTAATTAAAAAAAAATCTTAAGACATTGAGGTGCCTGGGCTCCAAAAATGTACACAATGGAAGAAAAGGAGGTCAAAAGAAACAACAGTGTGGAAGAAAGTGGTTAAACAATATAATTTAAAATACGGTTTGCCTTCATGTATGCAGAAAGCAATTCTAGCAGCTAGTGAAGAGGAGCCACTTAAAAACTCATGCACATGTAAATTATATATATCTTTCCAGAGACACAAAGGAAATCAAAATTCCTTAACCCACTGATGTGGTTAGCATGGATCATGCCCTATACATTACACAGTGTACACTCATCTTCTAGACTAAATCAGTTTACACACTGATGGGATAAGTTTATCCTAAAGGTACAGTCTGGGTCTAATAAAAGCATTAGCTGCTTTGCTGTTGATTGAATTGCATTCTGTGGGTTTAAATGCAGGTTTGTATCTTATTTCTGGGCGATTTGCCCATGTGGCAGTGTCTTTGGGAGTTAGAGCCTCAGGATGTAAACATGGTGTGTGTGTGTTGGAATTACTGATTAGTCACAGTTTTAACAACTGGGGAATACTGCTAGCTAGTAAAATTGCACAATGTTGTACTAGTAATGTTTACATAATGACAGTGGTAAGCAATCTTTATTAATCAACTGTCTAATTTCAGGTTGCCATGTCCCACAGCATCTGTTTCTCATCCATTGCAGTAAAGCTCAATTTGGTGGTCCTGCTGCTTTTTGTAACAAGTTTCTCTTCGTGTCTAAATGACAGAGTTGCAGTAAGTACCCTTAAGAGTAGAATTTTGAAGCAGACTGTATGAGAAAGTTAAATCCTCTCAGTGTATCAGTATTGGCAGGATGCATATGGCCATATATAGTCTTTCAGAGGAGAATTTCTTTTAGCACATTGAAATAAAATGTCTTTCCTGTCAGTTTTAATCATATCTAATTGGTGCATTGAAATGACCTTCTTATTAGTGTAAAATTTTGTAATGTCTGGGTTTTTAAAAGGCAAAATAGCCTATATATAGTTGTAAAACCAAAATATCTTATTTCAAAGGAGCTTGCATTAACAAAGAAAGAAGAGAGTGATGCAAATGAACAGAATGGAAAAGAATTGATGGAGGAGGAGGAGGATTTTGATTCTGAAGACCTCAAAGTATTTTCCCCAACAAATCAGTGGCAGACAGTCCTGCCAGGTAAATTAAACACAATTAATTGCAAAGAACTTTTGAAACCATCTTCTGTGTTATTCAAGAGAAACTGCACAGGATTAGAAAATGGCTGCAATCCACTAAAGGCTCCAGTACAATTGTAACTGAAGTGCCAGTAAAATTCAGTTTAATTCCAGTTCTGACACAAAGGGGTTATGTCTCATAGCCAGTTTTGGTTTCTCCTTATTCATAGAAATCTGCTTGCAGAAATTTAACAATCTTACTACTGGTGGACAACAGGTGACTGCTGTCAGTTGCCCAGACATCCATTGGAAAGTACCAGCAAAAGGCAAGAAGTAAGTGCAGCAAAGGGGGTGGGTTAAAGCTCTCCCTCTAATAATGTAATTTCAGTTTCTAGCATTGAATGGGCACCCTTCAGCATCCTCCACTTTTCTGACACTTCCCTAAATCTGTCTAGTTCAGGAATGGAAGGTCTTAAAGCCAATCTCTTTTTGGAGCCACTGTTGTGGTTACTTAAGCAGCTGTAAAAATAAACCCTACATGAGATTTTGACTGAGTAGGATGGAATGAATGGGGTCACATTGATGGGGCACCCCATTTGGTCTATTTCATTCTTCCATCTTCAAGTGTTACTTTTTTTAACTCTCTGAGAAATTTCTGCATTTTTTGGACAGGGAAATATACACAGATTTCAACCTTGTTCAATAAATGGAGAAGCAATTAATGTTGCATTTCACAAAATACTCACGAAAAGAGGGTGGAAGGTAGATCTCCCCTTTCTGGAGTATCTAGAGGTACTAAACAATATGGAAAATGTGGAGGCGATCACACCCAAGACTATGTACTTACTACCTTTTGAGGGGAAGAAAGCTCTTTCATGCTTTGCTTTTCAATTTACAACTCACCAATTGACAGCAGTCAGATATGCACCTATATGAGGTCTCACTTGGTCACTTTCCATTGATGTTTCTGATGGCACTTTGACAGGAGCCACTTACCAGGACCTGGCCAGGCAAGGCTTCACACTTTAGTTCTTCTAAGGGCCAGAAATAAAATTGCAAACAAAATTGCAAACATCTGTACTGCTGTCCCAAAGGGCTATCAGCCAGTGGCAGTCACTCCAAGTGCTGCTAGGGCATCAGTAGAATGGCTGTCACTTGCAGCAACATGGGGGAAATCACCAAGAGTGGCAAGGGGTTTTGCCACTCTTGCTGAACTGCTCATTCAACCCATGATGAGTTTGATCTCCCAGGTTCAGATGGCATGGACACCCATCATGGATTTGACAACCCCCAGAACAAATTGTGGGTTGTTAAGGTGGCTTATTGCCCTGGAATAAGCCATTCGGCTAGAAGCAACCTGGGTTAAGATGCCACAGCAACTCACTGGGTGTATTCATGCATAATGACAAGTCATGCTGGAGATGGCTTGTTTTTACATGTGAATCCAGGAAGCATCATGGAAGGTGGCATGTTTGGTTACCATGGAGAACCAACAGTTTGTTCTGAGGTTTCCATGTGTTGACATAGCTTGTTATCGTGTTTGAAGCCAGTTACAATGTTTTTCCACAGTTTTCCTGTTTTGGCCAGTGGATTTGGTGGCAAGAGTGCTCATGGCTGTCACAGCTGCCATTTTTGCTGCCTTGTTAGCCTCACTACAAGCAGCCAGCAAACTGAGTGGGTTGGCTTTCTTTGTGCTCCCTGTCCTCCTACCTAGCACATGCCCCCAGTGTTTGGCTGCCCCATCTCACCGCATTCCCATGATGTCAGCCTCACTGCCATGGACACCACTCTGTTGTCAGGTCTGCTCTGTGAGCCAGTGTTCTCACATTATGCAAGATGTCCACCAATATCCCTGTTGTGTGGTGGACATCAGCAGTCACGTCAATGACACAGGCATGGTGAGAGCTATGGTGGTGAGGCTGGCATCTTTAGGAGGTAGTTAGACAGGGTGCTACTCTAATTAGCAGCCGGGGGCTCCATGTTGTGCAAGGTAAAAAACAAAAAGTGGTGGCTGGGTGAGAACATCCCCAGCGGAGCGTGTGGGCCTACAGAGAGAGTCAGGTGGGGCAGACAGGACTGGGGAACACTGGAGATTGAGTCCTATCTGTGAGGGGCTGATGGTAACTACTCATGAGTAGTTTCCTTGCAAACTTGAGCACAGGTCACAAGGTAAGATAAGTAATAGTAGCGTTATGTGTGAACAGAGCCGGTGTGTTTTAGTTAAGCTTTCATGCTTAATTTAGTTTATTAATCAACCAAAACGTCTGTTCATTAATTGATGGTGGTCAATTTTAATAAATGAGGGTAAAGTTTACTTAGGTAGACATGCAAGTTAAGAAGACATATTTGTTTTAGGTTTTCTGGTTCTCATGTCAGCAGTGTATGCTTTATAAGGAAGTAAAAAATAAAATATTAAGGATGGTCTTTCCAAAGAGCAGTAGCTATTAATTTATAGGTTGCCTAGAATTTTAGTCCATATTTTGAAAAGACCCCCCTTACTAGGCTTTTGGTAATGTGTACACTTATTTAAGTGGGCAAAAGCTGCAGCTTTTCTTTCCTGCATATTTTCATTTGCTGTATTCTTTTCTGGTCTTTTACATCTTTAAAAAACATATAGGCAAACTAGAAAATGTACTTGTAAACAATTGGTGAATTCAAGGTTTTCAAAAATCATAATCTTGACATGTACAAAGGCTAAGCCTCCAACATAAAATATAAGGTCCCAATGCAGTCTTGCCCTCAGTTGACCCATTATTGAATGCCTGAGTCCTAATGTTGTACAATCCATTTTCATTGCCCTTTTCCATCAATGCAGTAAGCATGATCAATCACCAAATGAAAAGACTGTGGACTCCAGAGATTTTCCTCAATATAACCTGTTATAGTGGTAATATGGCAATTCCTCAGCAGAATCCACAATGGGACACGAAGTGTGACTTCTAAAATGTTTGTATAACTCTTTTTGTGGTAGGCATTTAATAAGGAAGTCCTTGCATCTGGCAATCCTAATAACTAACGATAAACATTTAGAGTGTTTAAAGATAAGCACATATGTCAGTCCAATTCACATGTAACCCTAACAGGAACAGCCTGTAGCACAGTGGTGGTAGAGCCCTAACTTGGCCTGCAGAAGGTTGCAGCTTGAATACTCTCCAGGCAGAGCCTGAAAAGACTGCTACCAGAAGTCCTGGAGAGTGATTGTCAGTCAGTGTGAAGAATGCCTAGATGACTCAAGAGTTTGACCCTGCATAAAGTAGCTTTCTATAAACCCACAAAGCAGAATTCTTTAGCCTTCTGACTTATTGTGTGTGAAGAAATGCTGGGGCATGCTGCTTCCTCACTCCCTCTGGGGTCTTTGCCAGCAGGAGTGACTAAGCAAACCAGGAATTCTCCATCCATGAACTGTGCAATGTTACATCTGAACCAGGATCTCTGACTTGTTCTTAAGGGACAGCAAGAAACATAAATAAGTACAATATCAGTAACAAAACAGCTCATTTTCTTAATTTCTTCTAAAAACTATACCACAGCATGAAACTAATCTCTAGGTCAAGGTGAGGAACCTGTGGTCCTCCAGATGTTTTGTACTTCAACTCCCAAAAGCCCTACTAAGTGTTGGCAGTGGCCAGGAATGCCAAGTCCAACATTGGAGGACCAAATTATTCCATGTTTGATTTGGATTAACTGTTTCTTATTGGTTTCCTTCTTTTGTACAGCTTTTACATAGAATATCAGTTTTCCATATCAAAAATCTTCCTGCGGAAAATAAATGTTCCCTAAAATTTCTAACCTTTTATTTGCAGGTCAAGCTATTCCTGCAGGTTTGCATGTGCAATTAAATCTTCAGACAGGAGAAAAAATAGCCAAGCTTTCAGATAAAAATGATGAAAAAAGTGAAGTGAAAGACCTTCCGAAAAGTAAAAGGTACAGTAGTATAAAATACTTTCCCCAGATTGGGAGCATATGAGCTTCTGATGGTTTTCCATTGCTTTCTGGAGTAGCCTGAGTTTTCATAGGTTTTTGTTTGGGTTTAAATTGTTTTATTTTTCTAGGATTTGAGGGGAAGCAAATGCTAGCCCTTTCACGTTGCTGTGCATGAAAAGAAAAATAATCTAGCTGGATAGTGAAGGAAAATTACATGCTGTGCTACTAAAACTAGGATTGTTTGTGTTACTGAAGAAGTGTAATTTTAAATATATTTCAACATTGTTGTTTTTATGGTTTTTGTGTTGTGTTTTATTATTTTGTTTTATACATTGTTGCAAACCACTTAGAGAGCTTTGGCTTTGAGTGGTATAGAATTGAAATGAAATGAATAAATAATAAATATAATTTATCAAACATGACCACTTTCTCCAAATCTCAGATGGCTTAATTTAGTTATATGTTAGTTTAGTTCTGCGGTCTACTATAACCAAAGAAATTTGTAATAAACATTAAATAAATATCAAAACATAGTACCGCCTTTTGGAAAACCTCTTTCTTGCCAACCTGAAACAGGGTAATCAACTAAATCTAGTTCATGATAAAATGGCAGCCTCCAATTTAACACACATAGTGCATGGAAGCTAGGTCAAGATGACTGGGAAAGACAGACAGACAATCCACAAATAAATGAGGCCCTCACTGCTGTTGCTGGTCTTGTTGCACTCCAAAAGACCTCAGCAGCCAAGCTCAAACTTATTTTGGGGGAAAGGGCCTTCTCATGTTGCTAGATGGTTCACAGCCTATGCCCTTACCTTTCCCATGAGAAGGCACTGACAGCAGCACAGAGAAGCACTTGAGGATATGGATGCCAAAATGTTCAATCAGTGCTCCAGTTATTTATATTGATGAGTTTATTGTGATTTGCAGGATCAGGTGCATGTGTTCTAGTTAAGGTTGAATCATAGTCTGATATTATTATTCAATACAGTACTGTTAAAGTTAAAGCATTATGGGGAAGGTGGGAAGAAACTCCCCATATAACAATGCAATCCAAATACTTTCAATAGAGATGATGTTTTGTCACTTAAGCACTTTTGGAATGCTTAAAATACATTGGTTTATCAGTCATTAAATGTATACAGTGCAATCCTATGTATGTCTAGTCATGGCATGGCTCAAAATAAGGCCATGCAGAAGCTGAATATAGGATCAGTAAGTAGAGGGGAGAAAAACTTACCATTTTTGAACTGTGAGGACAACACATTTTTTTGCAAGACAGACAAGCAGTTCAGAAATTTAGAGCCATATATAAAGAGACTGAACAAACAGAGGTGTTACCAATAAAGTGGAAAATAGTTTAGCAACACTGACTTTGCTTTATGCTGTTATGAACTCTTTACGAACTCTGATCATTTTATTTTCCATTGTACTGCCACTCCATGCCTCTTGAACATACAGATGAACAGCTGAGGGTTGAGGCTAAACCAATATCTTGGGTCTGATAAGCATCCAAGAAACAACATTGTCACATTCATTTAATACTGGGGGAAATTCAGTATCAGTAGTTCAGCAGTGCAGGTATTATCAGCGCTTTGCTTGGAAATACTTAAATTCACACTTTTAAAGCCTGTTATTTTTATGCTTTGCTGGAAGGGTACTGACTTCTGGTAGAGCGTTCTCTTTGAACTAGGCATTTTCTTTAAGGAAGCATCCCCTACATCTAAGAAAGGGAGTTTTATTTATGAAAAAGCTTAGGGATATTGATATTTCAAACAAGCCAGATGGTGGTAGTCATGTATTGTTTTAGGCTTAATCATATAATTATCACGAGGAAAGCGTTTTGCTTGTGATATCTAGCATAACAAGTAGATTTTTTTCCTCTGCATTGGTTTGGACAATATACTTTTTCTTAGAGGTGTGCATTGACCCCAGGATTCAGCTCAGACCCCAAGTGGCATTCCAGAAGGTAGTCCAGTTTTGCTCAGGTTGATTCAGAGACCACCTGCTTTGACTCTGGGGCAAAACTTGAGCTGAGATTCAGAAATATGAGGCTTCATTTCTTTCATTTACTATATTGAGATTTTTTTAATTAAAATATTTATTTTTCTGTTTGTCATAATTAGATTATATTTGCTGGCATAGTGGGCCCTAAGAAAGGGCTTATGCCTGCCAAATGTCAGAAAAATAGGCGTAAGTGTCCTTTTGTGCAGCATATGTTGATATTTTGACTTTTTAAAAGGTAAAATTTCCTTGGCTCCTCCAATGAACAGTTAACAGATATTTGAACCTTGCTTGCAGAACTTATGGAGACCTTTTCATGCGGGGCAAGGGGGCAATAACCTTGCTGGGCAAACTTGCACAGTCTACCTGGTTTCCAGTTTCTTTAGATGTTCTCCTTTCTTCAGCTGTGGTTTTCCCTTGATTCATTCACCTGCCAACAGTGCTCACAGATTCATATCAAACAGGTTTTGGCTTATTTGTTCTTACTGGCAGTTGCTGTCTATTCATAAACTTAGTTGTGTCTGCATATGCAGGGCATCCCATGAATATACAGAAAGTCATCCCTTAATTTTGAGTGGCCCCATTCACTTCCAATCTGAGAGGCACTCCACCAACTGAGTTAACTATTAGAGGGAATTATTTCTATCCATCCTCATCACTTCATGTGTTTTTCTTTCAAGTGAGTTTTCTTTTAAAAGAACTTGTGCATTGGAAGGATTCACATAACACAAAGGCTAGAATACCTCCTTCCATTTTTTTTCTTTTACTGGTTTATATGCTACCCTAACTTGTTGATCTGTTACCTTTGAATGTAAACATGCTTTCATTACTTAAATGAAGTATTAAATGTCACAGCCAAGCAACACCTGGTTTTTCTCTCAGAGATGTAACTTACCTGTTTTATATATTCCCAGAAATTATGTAAGGAGGTACAGTTAATGCACAAAAAGTGGTTCTATCAATTTATGCAAATAGATGGTTGACTCTCAACTTTCATGACTAAATTAAAAAAACAAAACAAACTTAAAGACCCATACTAAAATGAACACAAGATTGAACCTTGATTGTGACACGAACTCTTTTGGAATTGTCTGGTGCTAGATAAAGTGAGCAGAGGCATGATGCCTGTTGCTAGCCAAATGTTTCTTATACGTGGTTTCAGCACAGATCAATTGTTCATTTGTGTGATGTATGCTTTTGTTTTGTGCAAGGCTGGGCCCCATAGATATTGACCCAAGTTCATTTACAAGGCAAGAACTTAAAAAGGCTTTGGCTAAAGTGAAGGAAAACATGAAAACAGATGATGCATTGGAACAAAAGGTATTATTAGCTTAGAAAAAATGTCAGTGTGAATGCTACGGTAAACTTTGCAATGACTGGGAGAAATAAGATGAGGGAAGCCTCTCCTGGAAAACAAATGTGAGCTAAGAACAGAATTCCTGTGAAAGTTCAGAGACCAAAAATCAGAAATTCTGATTCATCTGGCATATGAGATTTGTCAGACCGTGCTGTCTGACCCAAAGTGGAAATAGAAGCCTCTAGCATCCAAATCTAGTTGTTTTTTTGGCAGACTCCTGAGAATCTGTTCCTTTGTTTCAGGGCTGTTCTCTCCCCTTTTCTGGGAAAAGATGGGAACAAGGAAAAAGAAACAACCTTCTAATTTGAACGAGCCAGTCTTCTGTAACCTGCAGATGATTTTTGTTCTGCTGTTTACTTTTGCTTTTGTGCAGATCTGTGCAAGTTGGCAATTAGGAAAACCTGCTCAGCTGTAAACTACAAATATATCCATCTGCTGTTTATGTTGGGAGTGAGAAGGATACTGGCCTTGGGCAATCATTCTCATGGGCAACTGGCTGCCTCTCAGATTCTTCAGAATCAGAATGTGAAGGAGATTGCAGTGGGGCTGCAGAAGATGGGCTAGGTCAAGATTCTGAGATGACAGAGGACAATGTAATTATTTCAAGGCCAGTGGCTTCCTAGGAATGGCCAAGATGTATAGCCGTTGGAAGGGGCCTCTGAGGATGAGGAACTCTCAGATACAGACCAGGCCCATCCCTCTGTGCTTGACCCCATGGCAAGACAGCAGCAGAAATGGGAGGCTCAGCTGAAGCAACACATGCAGAAGGGAGGTTTGCTCGCTTACAGGAAGCCCTTCCCGAGGGGATGGTGCTCAGGCATGTTCGCAAGGAGAGTTCTTGGACTGGATTAAACAAACTTCCATGCAAGCTCAGAGATCCGTTCTGGGTGATTTGTTCTTGGAAGCTATAAAGGACATGGCTTCTGTGGTCTGTGGCTGGTGATCATTTGAAGGGGGAACCTCAGATCATGGCAGTATATGTATACAATTCAAATGGAAATGTGTTGTACACCTTCCTTTTTTAAAAAGAAGAACTTTGGATAGTTATCTCAGTGCAGAAAACTTTCTGCTCTACAGGGGTTCATTCAAGAGCAATTTCTGACCCTCATAGAGGATCTTCAGGCAAACCATTTTTTCAGCTGACCATAACATCTGATGTCCTCTTGACTAGACATCTAGAAAGCTTCCATGGCAGCACCCCATGTGTCAAAGAGCTCCAGAGAGCACTTGCAGGTCCAACACTGCCTGTCTTCAAACTTACTCGGCAGGGCTTAGGGGGGTCTGTGAGGAACTGTGAAATCGCATTCCATGCCCAGTGATTATCTATGGCAGATAATTAGGAGCATGACATGGTTTTCAAATACTGAACCACAGTCAGAAATAATGAGCTATTTTCAAACTTTTTTTACTAACTCAGTTTGCTAAGCCCAAATGGAGTCAAGAAGTGTAAGGTCCTTGCTAATTAACATTCACAAAATTAATCAGGTATTAAATTTTTGATTAGGTAATAGGCTTAAAAGAAAATTAGTATCTTCCTGCCAACTGTCTGTGTGTGTAATGACCAAATAAAATTATTTTGAGAAGAGTAGCTTAGTTCATTGGTTTCAGCAAAAAATAATAGAATATCATAGCACCATAAAGACTAACACATTTATTCTGGTATAAAGTTTTGTGGGCTTGAGTCAACTTAGAACATATAAAACCACTACATTAAAGCTTTTAAATATATGTAATATTTAACCAGCCTTTGGTAAGCTATGTTCCAACTGTAGCAGGATGAAAACTTATCCTGATTCAGGTCACAAATATAAGAACTGATCTTAATGATGAGTTGTAGTTGTAGCGGGAATCTCAGTTAGTTAGTTTGTTTATTCAAAACTGATCACATTATACTTGTAAGGTTAGTAAGAGAGTATCCTGAGAGGCTGAAATGTTTTCTTACTGCTTTCTGAATACTAGCCTTTCCAATATCAGCTGCATTCATTTAGTTTGCATGGAGATTGACTTGTTTGCCCTAACATTGGCAGATAATATCTCATTCAGGAAGGTGAGCAGATAAATAAACCTTTGCCCATGTTGTGGCTGACGTTAATAGGTCCTCTAAGAGAGTTGTCTGGGTAGATACGGAAACAGAGACAACATCTCGTTGCAAGCTCTTACACTTTGTGTGTGTTTCTGTTATGTGGCCTCTTGTTGCTGGTGTGCAGCAGTTTATGCATGCAGGCTGTCTGTAAGCAGCACATTAACAGCAGATGGGAAGCTTCTATATAGTCTGAAGTGCCTGATCCTGCCTAGTCTTGGAAACTAAGCAAGACTGGGCCTGTTTGAAATCTGGATGGGTGACTTAAATGTTGTGAACTGCCTTGAGAGTTCTGACTATGGGTGATATAGAAATAAGGACAACAACAATTTGTAGGCTACCATTGCTTATTGCCAACTGTCACAGATCCTCAGAAAAGCAAATACAGACCAAAATAATGGAATGTGCAAGTTAAAGGATACTGGTTCATTGATGCTTTCTCAATGGTACAACGGTAGCCCTTGCATGTAAAAAAAATTGAGCAAGTCCCTGTGGGCTCTGTAGGGACAAGGATCTTGGCACACTTAATTTCCAGGAACTATTGGAGAAAAAAAAAGGGGGGGGGGGACCTGACAAAAGAAGGCTTCACTTTCCTTGCTAATATCTCTTTGTTTGCCTAATCTGTTAAGCATTTTTAATTACTCTGTAGGAGCTATTAGCAGAATCATAAGAAAACTTAATTAGTGCATAATGCAGAATCTTGCTTGGCCTTTGCAAATCACACTTCTGATCTTTTTCTGTATTCTTGCAAGCTACTTGACTTTAAACCTGAAAAAGTCATTTTCCATTCTCATTTTCCAATGAAAATCATTTCATTGCTCTTGAGGCACTTTTGATTCATATGCTGAATTCCACCTGTTGTGCATGATGATTACATATTTAACTAGGGGTCTTCTTGCATGATCAGTGCAACAGATAAGGAGGGGACCTGCACAGTACCATAACTCAGCATTTCTGAACAGGATGTTTTGTAAAGTGGTTTACTGAAGTTTCACTGTGATATTGTGTAAGTCCCCTTGTTTTGTGCTATGCCTCCATGTGAGATGTTTTAGTGCACAAGTAAAAGGGGGGATCAAATGTATGATTCACTCTTGGCACCAACAGAGGCATGATATCAAGATCTGCACTTAGATTTCCCAATTTCTCTTTAATCTTAAAGCAGCAATGAGGGCAAGCCATGATACCCAAGGAGACTAAATGCAGCTTAGGAGGGAATATGGGGAAACAAGGGGAATATGGGGAAACAAGG